AACAGTAAACAAAATCATATTCAAAATTTAAAAACTTACTAGTGTTTTCAGGAACAATTGGCTTGCTATTAGATAAAAGAACAAAGACATCTACAAGAAGATTCTTTGCTCTTTCATCAATGCAGTTCTCATCAGGACCAAAATGTTGAATCAGCAAATCATTGATCTTGTTTTCATATCTTGAGTTAAATCAGCACCAATTGAAGAATCAAGCATATCTAGAAAGCTTCTCTCAATGGGTTTAACAGGAACATTTTCTTTCACATCATTACTTCCAATCTAAAAAAAGAGAGATAACATAAAATTTAAAACATGAAACAATTATATTTTTAAAAAAATAAGAAATAGATTTATAAGTTTACCATTTTGTAACAGCACTCAGAAAAATCTTTAACTGGTCTTTTGCCATAGACACCTTTGCTGATTTTATCAAACTTTGAAAATATTTTGATCATTGACCCTTTCCATACTTTTATTCTTGGAACATCTTTTGGTACTAATCGCATACCAAAATTCAGAAAATCCAAATAATTCACCTATTACAATAAAAATTAAAATGAATAAGTAACTGGCAGAAAAAATAGTTTTAACAAACAATTGAAAAAAAGAGAGAAATAATACTAACCACCAGACAGTAGAAGCAACCTCCAAAAGTTTTTGACTTGTCAAGCTTGCTTAGATGTTTCATTAACCAATCAAAGACAAGACTGCTCCAATCCAAATTGTCAATACAACTAAGATCTTCAAAAACACTCAGATATTTCGTGCTAGGTTGAAGAGAAGAATTTGGGCACAGGAAGCAATTCAAGGATACAATCATGAAACACATTAAGATTTGCTCATCAGACATTGTTTCATTTTTGATAAGCTTCTCTCCAAAATATTTGACAGAGGGCAAAGAAGAGAGGCCGAAAGAGTCAAGAAGGATCTGTTTGCCAACTTCAAAATCTGAACTAATCGGTAAACCTCCAATAGGCAAACCCAAAACAATATGAACTGATTCTTTGGAAAGTGGAATGACTTTATCTCTAACGATGATATCACAAGAGGTGACATCAACTCTTTGTGCCACCCATAAAGCAAATTTATATGGCACGGGACATTTTTCAAAGAGTAAGAGAGTTTTGAAACAGGTTTTAGAAATAATCTCTCTCTGATGTTCAGACAATGAAGTTAGCACATGAGAAAAGTATTTCACAGAAAACCTTGTCAGTTTAGTATCTAAAGTTGCAGCACTCTTCATTGGATTTTTCTGCAAAAGAAAAGATATTTTCATTAAAAAAGATTTTACATAAATTTTGAAAATAATAAAGACAACTAATAACATCAAACTAATTTACCTTGTTTTTATGATAATAGAGTTTCCTTTTCATTCTATTTAGAACATTATCTCTATATATCTCAAGCAAGGCTGAATCCAACTTATTTTTGAAATCAACATCTACTGTTTTGGTTTTTTTTCTCTATCAAAAATAAGAGAATGCAAAATTAATTTTTTAAAAAAGGAGCAAGACAATAAAAGGGGTAATAAAGAAGAGAGAAATACAAAAAAAGTATGAGAAATGCACAAGATCTAATATGATTAAGATTATACATTATTGGAATTGTTGTATAGAAAATGACATGTTTCAAAGTTCATCAACAGATATCAAATTCAAAAACTAAAAATAAAATGCTTCTACATTTAGACAAGCAGATAATGTATCCCAATTAAAACTTTACAAACCACATTTATGTGGAGTGCCCTTTTTACATTATTTTCTCAAAAATCAACAGCAAGACAAGTACTAGAAAAACTGAATGTGAGCACATATTGACAATTAATGACTTAATTGCAGCAATGCTCTAAGAATGTAGAATTGATATTGCAAATTTCAAGTATTGAAAAGAATAAGAAAAAAAGTTAAAGGTATAGCTAAGGGATATAAAACAGAAAGCAAAAGCCAAATTACAGTCAATTACAGTGAATTTATATGGCAATTACATAAATCAAAAACTGTAATTACAGAAAAAAAAATTATGTAATAGAGAGAAGTCTAAAATTTAATGTATAAAAAAGCAATGATAGGAAATTATAAGAGAACATATAACTTAAACTGAACATAGTGTTGTAAACAAAAAATGCAATAATACTTTGTTACATTGGAAGTGCCTTCATCAGTATTTTTCTTCTTACTCAACTTTCTTTTCAAAGAGTTCAAAAGTTCATCCATAGAAATTCCAACATAACTAGATTCGGAGTCCTACAAAGACAATTAATGAAATCTAAGAATATTCTTACAAACAATTTTAAAAAATTATTTCATAAAAACAAACCTCATTGTCACAAAATTCATCATCATTTGGAGAACTTTCAGATTCAGAAGAAATAGAATCACCAAAAAGATCTTCAATATCATTTGGATTACCCATCTATTAAAAAACAAAAAAAATGAATTAAAATAAGATAGATCAATACACAAAGCATGCATATCAGAAATCATATATACAGTCACAGGTTCACATCACAGTTTCACAACTCGAGGTTAAAAAAATGTACAGATTTTAACAGTAACATGCAGTTTCAAATATATCTAATTTGCAAAGTTTAGTCAGAAGCACAACATAAGAGCTAAATCAAAGCCTATATTGCATATAAACTAAAAAAGAGGGTGATTCGTCAACATTTGCACAAAAAATACAGGCTACAACACTACAAGACCTTCGCAATCTTGAGCTCAAATCACAACAATGGCACCTCCAATTCGGCCACATCCACTTAGTGAATCACCAGAACCACCCCCACGACAAACACCACAAAACGACAGTCACTAGAGGCCAGGATAAATCACTAATGAATCACTGCTGAATAAATCATTCAAATAAATAACTACTGAATCGCTTGCAAGAGCTCAAGAGGGTTATTGAGTGGATTAGTGAGTTAACACAAGAAACAGTATCCATTAACAGATTCAAGCAAAATGCTGCATTTGTTAATTCATAAACAAAATAACATTAGGAAGTAGTAGTTTTTGGTCATGAATGCAAATGCAAGTATCTCTGGAAAATATGTATGAAAAACAGGTAAACATGCGCTGCAGTTCTTAATGAACATCATAACAAACAGGCTAAAATTCTAAATTAACAGCAGAACAAACAGATTCTGCACAACATATGAGAACACACTAAGAAAAAATCTAGATGACTTGTGAATGACAGGAAGGAATTGGATACTCAAACAAAAAAGGGGAATAATGCCATTGACAAAATGACTTGTGAATGACAGTAGACTAGATCTCATTTTGTATGAACAATTAGATCTACACCTAACAACCTAAAAATATCATTAACATCTAAGCCATAAGTGCAAAATTAGCTTCTGAATATTGGATCAAATGAACCATGTCACTGATTTGGATTAAAAAGTACTTCTCTACCTTAAAACAGAAATAAAACAAACAACAACAATTGTAACTCAATGTCACATAACACATTCAGTAACTGGATCAATAAACTACAGGATTCACAAAATAACAAATCCACCGAATCCAAACACTCAAAACTCACCTAAGATACCAGCTTCAAATCTAAGCCTCAGCCAAAAGTAACCTACAATCCAAAACAAAATAGAGATTAAACCTAAAAAACACCACAGAAAAAACAAAAAAACAGGGGAAAAACCTAAAACGTTGTAGAGCTGACCAGATCTGAGACTCGAAACAAAAATAAAACGAAAAAATCAAACGAAATCCTCACGAGACAATCACGAGTTCATCACGAGTTCATCACCTACTGCACATGCTACGACTACACAACTCATGGAGTTTATCACGTACTGCACAAGCTACGCATGTTCCAAACCCTAACCCGTGTCGTCCGATCAAACAACAACAGTGAAATCCTAAAAAACAACACAGAAAAAACAAAAAAAAACAGGGGAAAAAGCTAAAACGTTGTAGAGCTGACCAGATCTGAGACTCGAAACAAAAATAAAACGAACAAATCAAACTAAATCCTCACGAAACAATCACGAGTTCATCACGAGTTCGTCACCTACTGCAAATGCTACGACTACACAGCTCATGGAGTTCATCACGTACTGCACAACAACAGCAAAAACATGAGAAGGATGGGGAAGGAGATGGTGAAGAGCAAGAGAGAAGAAAGGAAAAACTCACGAATCAAATAGAGGTCAATGAGCAGCTCTACACCAGCAGAAAAAGGACGACGAACTCTCCGGCGAAAATCCTCAACACCGGCTAGATCTACGCCGGCGAAATCGCCGTGGCGGCGAAATCGTCTCGTCACAACGGCGACCTCGCCGAAGCCTCTCTACCTCTGTGTGTCTCTCTCTCCCCCAGCGAGTGAGTGATTAGGGGACAAATATCATGACAAAAGTGGGACCCACAAAAATCACGGAGAAAGAAATGCAGGCGCGGAGATCAAAATTTGAACAGTACAGGTGGGACCCACAAAGACTGAAAATGTTAGGCGTGTCTCTGGAAAAATCAAGTGGGACCCACAACAGCCCAAAAAAAACAGGCCCAACAACCCAGTCAACCCAGACCACGAACGCAAAAAAAAGAGCCCATATAAAGTAAAGAAGTCCATCTCTCAGCACGAATCTTGAACAGATCTAATGGCCCAAAAAACGACAGATTCAGCCCAAAGAAAACTGTCGACAGAGGAATAGCAGTCCCGTTTTTAAAAACCAAACACAGTTAATTCTGCATGCATGTAATAGCTCAACACAGGAGCCCATGAGTACTAATCAATTTCTACATGCAACTAGGAGCTGCGCCTTGTATTATGGAACTGGGCTCAAAAGCAGTTACGCCCTATATTAAGGAACGGAGGGAGTAATAAAAACCGGTCCCTCAACGGTTTTGATCCCGGTTTTATCCTACGTGGCTGCTGAGTCAGCGTGGGACCCACACGGACCCCACGTGTCAGTATGTCCACGTCAGCCTCCTCTCTCTACTCTCTTCCCCCTCTTCTCTCCATTCCTCCTCTCTCTCTCTCTCTCTCAATTTTCTCTCTGGGGCTCTGGGCAGGGCAACCAGCGGGTGGGGAGGAGACTGACGGGGCGAGGCGGGAGAGGAGGTCCGGCAGCCGGCGACGCGGCGGCGGCGACGCGGGAGCAGGGGAGCATTTTGCGACTGTTTTCTTCCGCTGAATCTGGTATTTGCGGCAATGGCGTTGGTGGCGGCAGCAGCGGCGAATCAGAAGCAGCAGAAGGCATCGATCGGGAGGCGAGCGTGGCGACTGCTGCGCCTGGCGGTGCTCTGGGTGAGGAAGGGCAGCGCGGTGCACAGCCTCTGCCTGTTCAGCAACCTGCGGCGCGCCGGCGTGGGCCTCGGCGTCGTCGGCGGCGGCGGCCGCAGCGAGCGCCTGCGGTACGGCGAGCCGGAGTACTCGATCGAGGAGACGCCGTCGGCGCGGGTGCTCTGCCTCATCCCCTGCATCGCCCCTGCTGTACCGAACACGCCCGGGTTCTACGGCGACGAGGACCGCTACTTCTTCTGCCGCTGGGACACGGAGCCCGAGTGCAGCAGCGTCGGGTGCTACGACTACATCGAGAACAACGTGCTCAAGACGGAGCAGATTGTTCAGGTTGTTAGACCAACTGACCAGCTTGATGCTGAAAAATGCAGGATTTTCGGTGTGTGATTGGCGAACACCTTCGCCATTGCTGTTCTTGATGCAGGTTAGACATGGCGCTAGAGGGGATGTGACCATCTTGCCGACGCTGGTGATCAACAATGTGCAGTACAGTACCGGGGTAAGAACAATCAAGATTCAGATCAAGATCACACTGAATTGTGGCTAAGATCATTGTTCGATCAAAGATTTGGAGTTTGCTTTTGTCTGAAACAGATTTGTTTTGCTACGACTACAATGGTGAGCCGAGTGAGTGCGGCGGCGTGGAGGACGAGAGCTTCCCCGACGGCGCAATGGACGAGCAGCTCCTCGAGCTGTCCATGCCGACGCCCGCATCCGCCCGGCGCTCCGCACGCTGAAGCAGAACCTTTCGCTGCTCCTCTCCGTGCTCGTCGACCGCGCGCAGCCGGCGGCGGAAAGCATCGTGGCGCTCATGGGCAAACGGCGGAGTAGCTCGTGGAGGAGCTGAGCATCGCGTGCGAGTTGAACGGAGCGGCGAGCTCCGCCGGCCAGAGGATGCCGGTGCCGGTGACGCGGCGGATGCGGCGGCGGAGGAGGAGGAGCCGAGGAGGACGCCGACGACCACCGGGAGAAGCAGGGCACACACCGTCGATGCGGCGATGGAGGAGGAGGAGGAGGACGCTGGCCACCGTGCTCACCCGCCTGCCGCCACCGGCGCTCCGCGCCTCCGCTCCATTCCGCTTCGCCGGCCGCTGCTCAGCACCGCTTGCCGCCGCCTGTTCCGTTCGTACCCCCCGCGGAGAAGAGAAAAAAGAAAGGGGAAATACAGGGTGATGACGTGGCACGCTGACATGTGGGGTTCACATGGGTCCCATGCTGATATAGCCGTCACATATACCAAAACCGGTGTCAAAACCATCAAAGAACTTCGGGTGATCGGTTTTGTATAGTTAAGGGACCCTGCATATTTGCGGTTTGAGAACGTTTTTTATACCGCTAACAAGTGGAGGACCTTCGGTACAATTTTTCCTAGTAGCCTTGTACGTAGAGCTGCTTCGAAATAAGGCCGTGTCAGAAAAAAAAATGCTAGTATATGCAGTGATGGACTCCAGTCTACTGTTGTGGTCCATGAAGTTTCGAGTACTAGGACACTGTTGCCCTCTGTGTTCTGTACCCTCTGCCACGGCTTCCAAACCGAGATACACGGGCATCACCCCACAAAGGCACAAAACATACTGCACGGCTTGTGTAACATGATTTCTTATGAAATTCGTATGTGTTTTTTCAGCACTCCTGCATCGAAAAATAAAAATGTTTGTACAGTTGTACTGAAACGGTAACATGCCTTTCAGCTCATCCCCACGCAGGCATCGCAGCGAGGCCAAGGCCAGCGGCCAAACGGGCGACGTCTCGTCCCCGTCGCACGTTGCCGAGGAGATAGACGCAGTTGACCGTGAGTTTTTTATGCACGCTCCCCATGGCGATCAAGCGAATCTGGATTGCCCGTTGGTTGGATGCGAGGCGGGTGGCACCGGTATTTATTCCGACGGTTCCTGACTTCCTGTGGCTGCGCAAGTGCGCAGTGTCAGTCAGTATCGAGCTTCGTCGGAGACCGCTCCACGCCGCAGCGCAAGCGGAGCATGTGGGAAGTGTGTGCGCGGGCGACGCCGCCACGCCGCGCACACCAGTGCGGGTCGTGGAGATGGGACTTGCTCCTATCTCTTGTCGTGTCGGTAGGTTCGTCACGCGGGACGCTGTCACACGGACACGGCTTTTGCTTTGCTGCTGCCTGGTGCAGTGGTGCCGGAGCAAGGGCTCGTGGAGCGACTGGTCATCGTCAGATCGACACTTGGACGCGTCGCGATGAACTAGTGGTACTTCGCTGCTAATTAATCCAACCGAAATTGCCGTCCTGCTGGTGGCTTTGATTTGGGGGTCAGATGGCTTCGCCGGGGGACAATGGCAACCAGGGAATTAGTAGGTGCTAAATTTGTTGTTCCAGTCAGTATATGTCGTTAAAACGTTCGATCAACACGGTCACACGAAAATAGTGGAGTAATGAACATGACTACTACACGGCACGGAGAATAACCGGATGATCAGTACTGTATACCGACTCGGTAGCAACACTCTGACGGTCATGTCTTGTCACTGTCATGGCTAACCACTGCAAGCGTCGTTAATGGAATTCAGAGTGCAACGGACTGAAAACTTAAAATCTCATCATACCGTTGTGGTACACAGACACTAATCCAGTAAAGCCCGGTTGGTAAGAGCTACTACGTATACTCCAACACGCCCCGTCACTCTGTTAGAGACAAAAATGGTGCATTATTGGACTACGTATGTGATATTGGCTGTGAGCGCTATATATTTGTCTGCATTCCTTTTTCTTTGTCAACATAATGAGTAAATCCGCCGCTTGGAGGACTGCAGGTACACGAAGACTGTTTGTCAAAGAGCTTTAAGAGCAAGGTTTGCAGCTATACCAATCATCATGGTCCGGTTGCAAGTAAAATACTAGTACTACAACATCATTTCATCAGCCAAGAGGATTACATGCATGCATCATTGGAAGTGTAGAGTTTGCATTTATCCGTTTTCTGGCTGAATCATTCCCTGCAAAGATTCGGATTAGTGCGCCATGATTAAAAACATTCCAAATGAGGATACATCCTGGAGAAAAAAGCATGAAGGCATGTCTTGTCGGACTGTTATACATGTAACCTGGCATTGTATCATGGTCGCTTCCTTTTCTGTTCTCAAGCATTACCGCGTACTCCCTGGTTCGTAATGTAGCAGGCCATATACTCCTTCCGTTCCAGAAAAAATGATCTAGTACAAAAAATTAAGATATATATCTATCTTAATTCGTTGTACTAGAATGTATCACCTTCAGTAGTAGGTTATTTTTTAATGTAACGAAGGAAGTACAATATAGGAAATCACTTTGTTGATCTTGCCGGCTCTCCACGGAAAAAAAAAAGAAAAGAAAAGAAAAGAAATTGACGTCACCATTTGTCCCTTTTTTGACACACTAAAACGGATTTTTTTAAATGAAGAACAGCATCACTGTCATCCGTTTGCAGTGCATCCTCATCCTGATCCTTGCTTAACCTGACAATATTCCATGGGAGCAAGGGCCAGGCCAATCCAAAGACAGGTCCAACAGCCAAGTACTAACCACCACCGGACACTTTCTTCCAAAGCAAATAATCATCCACATCCATCCTTAAAACAAAAAAAAAAATCCTGTCACACCACCAAAAAGCCCGCTCCGCCCGGTCCCACCGCCCCCGCTCCGCCAACTTCTCCCGCAACCCAACACTTCACACCTCCCTCCCTCCGTCCCTCCTCCCCCTCGCCTCATCTCACCACCTCCAACTCTCGAAGTCTCCAAGCCAAGCCAAGCTCCGCCCCCCCGCACTCTCCACACTCCACCTCGGATTCCCCAGCGCGCGAGCGAGCCCTTCCCGTCCTCGATGGGCAACTGCTCCCCGTCCCCTCGCCGCCGGGGCCGCCCGACGTCGCCGTCGGGGTCGCCACCTCTGGACCGCACCCCGTCGGCCAAGGCCGCGGGTGGTGGCGCCACCACCACGGTCTCGCCCTACGCGCTCGCCAGATCCCCCTCCGTGTCCGCCGCTGAGGCCGACGGGGACGACGGCGTGGTGCGCGTGTACGGCTCCGACGGCTGCCCCGTCGCGTGGCGGGTCCGCGTCGCGCTCCTCTACAAGGCGGCCGCGCCGGTGCACTTCACGCCGTCCGAGGCGGCGCCGCTCGGCCGCCCCGTGCTCCGCCTCTCCGCGTCCGACCCGGAGCTCTGCGGCACCGCCGACGAGCTGCTGCGACACGTCGACGCGCGGTTCGAGGGGAAGCCGCTGGTGACGCCGCCGGAGCGGCCGGCGCGCGTGTCGGCGGCGGCAGCGGCGGCGGAGGAGGTGGCCGAGCTGGTGCGGCTGCAGCACCGCAGCGCGGAGCGGCACCTGGAGGGCGTGGCGGCGAAGGTGGCGGAGATGGTGAAGAAGGGAGCGAAGAAGGCTGGGAAGGGGGCGAAGGTCGTCGTCGTGGAGGGCGCCGAGGTGAGGAGGTTGGGTAAGTGGTACGGTGACGCCATGGAGGTGATGCTGGAGCACGCCAGGATGGAAGAAACGGTGCTCTTCCCTGACATCCAGAGGGCCTCTTTCCCAGGTCGATTTCAGCTTGATCCCATTCCATATGCGTGTGTTAGATTTTGGTTTCATTCCTCGTTTCATCGGGTTTAGGTTACATTTGTTCCACTTGTTTCCAAAAAAAAATCTGTTCGATTCGTGTTATACCTTTTTTGTCTCTGCATTTATGGAGGAGGGTTTAACGTACTACATATAAGGTACATTCGCCATTTGCTTTCACTGGCGCATTTTACTTGGACGGTTTCTTTCACTGCTTGCATCTGCATTTCTCATGTGGGCGATTTATGAGTAGGTGCGTTAATCGCAGTCGGCCATTTACTCGTTTGCACATGTCATATTTATCCACTAGTTATTCCAGTACTACTTCTTTTGGTGACTGTACTTGTGATGGTGAATTTTGATGGCATTGAAGAATCTGTTGTGATAAGAAGGGATAAAGATAGATTGTTCTTTTCCCATTTTTAATCTCTGTGTCCCCTACAAGATCCGAAGGTCTGTCTTCCCCTACCTTTCTAGCTGTACAAGTCTGGATTTGTTCTGATCAGTATTAGGAGTTAACAAAGGATAGAAATGTCACGTAGTTGAGCAAAGCTGCTTCTGAAAAATCTTGCCCTACCTTTCTAGCTGTACAAGTCTTTTTGTTCTGATCAGTATTAGGAGTTAACAAAGGATAGAAATGTCACGTAGTTGAGCAAAGCTGCTTCTGAAAAATCTTGGATTATTTGGAGTTTACCAATGGCAAAGAGAACAGAGCGCTGCGAGAATCCAACTCGCGATCTCTCGTTCATGCTCTAAGCGGGGATCATACCACTAGACCAGACACCCATCTTGATCCAAATCCAAGAGCTTCGTTGTAGAGTTGTTTAATTGTCAAATGGTGGCTATCATATTTGTAATAGCAATCTAATCTAAATCCTGGGTACTTTATGTGCAGGGGTTTTGGATAAGGCTAATGAGCAGCACGGGAGGCACTTGCCCATGATGAACGGCATCAAGGAAGATATAAAAACACTCCTCACTCTGGAATTAGGCAGCTCCCTCTTCCAAGAAGTGCTGGTTAACCTCTCAGTCCGGCTCAAAGCATTGCAGGTATGAGCTCCAAACATTTAGTGGTTACACTGCTTGCATCTATTTGTTATTTCATTTAGCATAGAACTGTGGAGTTCAGTGTACTGTGTTGCTTCTGTTGGTTGGGACGGAGTAGCTCATTAGCACACAATTAATTAAGTAGCTAAAACTAACTTTGAAAAATGGATTAACATGATTCTTTAAAGCAACTTTCCTATAGATTTTTTTTTTTTTTTTTGCAAAAAATACACCGTATAGCAGTTTGAAAAACGTGCACATGGAAAACGAGAGAAGAGAGATAGGAACACAGACAAAAGAACACAGCCTTAAGAAGTGTTGCAAGTTCAGTAGGTTTTGATATCTTATTTGAGGGGAAGTTCTAGTGCAGGTAGCTTCAGAAGTGTGCCATATCAACAGTGAATTCTTGTTGGTAGTTATGCAAACTTCACCTTTTGTGACTTGCAAGGCTTCTCTACTGCCTTCAGGCAAAAGGGATATAGTTAGATATTAGTTATCCTCTCATAATCTACTTGCAAGGCCTCTGCTTTAACATTAACCTGCCATGAGAGATGCTCAGAAAAGGAGTAACCGAAAGTGAAGTGGAGTAGAACTCTGAGAATTCACCAAGTTTACCCCAGGAGAAAAAGATTCCTTCCGTTCTCCTATGAAAAAGATATTTGTTGGCTCACCACGCACTTGCACTTTCCAAGGAAGCATGAAGATCATGTGGTCCTGGATAAGGACCACTTCTAACCTGCTTGATCTGTAAAGATTGTGTTGCTTCAGCAGCGCATTGTAGGGTTAATTTTGTTTTTGAGTTGGATACACAGGAACCATCCACGTTGGCTATTGCATACAGCTTGATGCAACGTTGGTATTATTGTTGAAAGTAGGATGCAGCCTGGCCAGCCTGTTTACTCTGCAGGATTTGTTTTTCAGGTTTTCAAGAAAATATTATAGGGCTGATTTAGTGTCCTCTTTCTTCAAAATTGGATATTGATTCACCACACAACTGCTGTTCATACAGCTCTATCACCCTTAGAATTTTGTGCGTGGAACTGGAAAGTTGGAGGGAGGTAGGGTGCAGCCTGACCCAACTAATTAAGAAAGTTGCTTTAAAAGATAAAGCATTTGCACCTTTCAGCTCTTTATTCTCACTACAGCTGGGTCTATTCCACATTTTCCTACCAAGCTGATGGATTGAGTTTGACATAGGTCTTGTCTTCTAGAGAACTACTAGGATTGCACATGCTGCAATCATGACGGGCACTTCCATGGATGTTTCACCACTTTGGTTGTGACTTGCAAAACCAGTCACAAATCTTTGTTGCCCACTTGAGACTTCCTTACTTTTGTTGGGCTACACTTACCAGTTGATTTATATCTTTGTTGCACAGTTGAGAATTTCCTATGCAATTTGGTGCTAGAATGCTAGTAGATCATATTATACTGAAAATTTTATACAACTGTATTTGTCATACAACCCTTGGCATTATTTTTGAAGTTGTAATAAAGTTATATAAATCTGGCTCAATCTCAATAAATAGAATGCAAAATTCATTGGATGAGAAGGAACAAATATTATTTTTACAGGAGCATCTTCTTCAGTTGACACTTGAAGTATCGATCTGTACAACTATTGCAGAGTTGGCAAATATATTTTTTTAAGGATTTGTTTGCTCTAGCAGAATTCTGTATCAGCTATTAGATGTAGCTTCTTCTCTAGTCCTCATAAAACCATCTAGTAACAGATTGGTTGACCTACCCTTATCAGGACTCACGGTCAACTTCCTGAACAGGAGGGAGTGTGTTTAAAATAAGCGTAGTGGTTACTGTAGAGAACTCTTTCGTATGCTATTTAGAAATCCTACTGAAGGAATTGATCCCGTAAATGTATAGCTGTATATATCTCTTTCGTCATGTTTGCTGTGCATCTGAAATTTATCAAACATTTGCAGGATCACACCAAAGAGCACTTCAAGGAAGAAGAGAGGGAGCTGCTCCCAAGATTGGAAGGAGTACGGCGGATGCAGAGAGAAGAGGGGAATGTATCTGACAAGTCCAATACTGCATGGGCGTCGGAGGCCATGGGTACAATGGAAATGACGCACTCTAAGCTGTTTCCATTCTTCATGACGGGTCTCTTGCCTCAGGAGGCTATGCAGTACTTAGACCTGGTATGCCGATGTACTAAAAACACTAGGCATTTGGTCTCCATGCTCAGATCGCTCGCAGAGCGTCTGGAAGACGCAAACCCAGCAATTATACACAACAATCCCACAAAACTATATGAGCACCTACTTGTAAAATCCCCATAAGGTATAATTCCCCACCGTGCAGATAATTGTTATGTGCCACGTAAATTGTGAATGCTAACCTCATTTTCCTTGTCTGGAGTGCAGCTATGTAATTTTCGGGTTTATTGAGCTATTGTGAAAGCCTGTATATCTTATGGTGTTATTGCAGAAGTGTGTGTGTGTGTGTGTGTGTGACTACAGGGAAAAAATTGACAAGTGATTGCAATGGCAATGATTGTTACTGACCACTAAGCGTTTTTATGTTGTTTTTTTTACTGTGTTCATACTAATCTGGCCCAAAATGATGCTGATCTCTGACCATTCATCTAATCTGCTCTGTATGTGGTATATCATATACTTACTCCGTAGATATGTAAGAACCTTTAGTTCTACACCAGATAAATTGTTGAAATCATAAGCAGGTGAACTGGCATGCTCTTCAGAATTCAGATATTGTAATACTGTAATTTAGCAATGGACAGTTGGCAGATTGTCTGTTTACTCTGCCAAATGATCGTGGAAGAACACTGCTTTGCTTAGCAGTTAACAGAAAAACCATTTAAGCGCTGTTCCAGTAGAATAGTGGACTGATCACTAAAACGTATGCGCGTGTACTATTCAATTTCAGGACACTACATATTGCACCAAAACGTGCAACATCAATTACTACATGGGACAACATGCCGATAGTTTATTTACCCAAAAAGGCGAAAATGGTCATAAATCATAAGTCATAGCCTCGTACCACGGTTCGACGATCTTTCAGGTACAATCTTCAAAGCTTTCATCATCTCCGATGCTCCCTTCGTGTAAGATCTGCTTCACCTTGTTCAAGATCTCCTGCATCTGCTTTCTGGAATGGAGAGGGCAAGGGTACATGCACGCGAACTCCAGCTGACCATCTCTGATGGAGTCAAACAATCCGATGGATGGCCCGACGCCATGCACGGTGGCGCAGCACACGAATTCCTCCACGCCGGCCTTGCTCTGCAGATCGGAGAGGTCGTACACCACCGGCTCCTCGAACACGGAGACGACCGCCGTCCGGAGCGCAGAGCCCGTCGTCAGCTGCGGGTTCTCGATTGCCCGGCACATGAGGAAGTTGAGGTCGGCAATGTCAGTGAGGTGCTTCTTGTTGTTCTTGGCGTTGGTATACGAATCTTGGCACCTCTTGGCCAGCTCCCATAGCTCTTCTCCGCCATGGATTGCGTGCGTGTTGGTGATAGCAGAATGGTAGAACCCTGCAGAATCAGATCAGTAATGTCAGCAATGCTTTGCTTGTAGAATGTTTTGTGTTTCTCGTGGTGCATTAATGAGCAGTGTCCTGCATTGTGACCAATGTGAGTAAAAGATGTAGGGGCTCACCAACGTTGTGATCATCCAGGGCCGGTTCGAGAAACTTGCGGCAATTGATAAGGGTCGCAATGGAGTACGTCTCCTGCTGGTTGCTCGCCAGCTGCAGCTTCGACTGCCGTGCAGCGAGCAGCGTCGCGGCCGCCATGGCTGCACAAAGCTTCACTCCGTTCTGCTTGCACGCCTAGATCAGTGGCAAATTGGCAATGTGGTTAGGAGAAGTGATCTGATCTGCGTGTTTGCAATTTGGAAGTAAAATGTGAGAGAGAAGCTTAGGCTCACATCGAGCAGCCTCGTCGTCTCGTCGCGGTCGAAGCCGAGGCGCAGCATCTGCGTGGACCTCTCCGTGCCGGTCACCTCGAACGGCAGCGTCGACGTGCGTAGGCCGTTGATGGAGTAGCCCACCATGTCGAGCCCCCGCGCCCAGAACGGCTTCCACGAGTCCCTCTGCGGTATCCTCTCCTCCAGCGACGCGCGCACCGCCGCGTCCTCGGGTTCGCTCGCTGCCGCGGCGGCGGCGCCATCGCCGGCCAGCTGCGCGAGGAGCTCCCTCACCAGCGAGGCCGACGCCGCGCGGTCGCACGCGGCCGTGTGGATCCGGACGAACAGCGCCGACCCCCCACCCGCTGGCGGCGGCAGCTCGTAGAGCGTGGCGAAGAGCACCGGTGGCGCGTCGGGCTCGTGTTCGGACGCGGTTGCGGTTGCGGCGGCGGCGGTCCATGGGTTGCGGTTGAGCTCGTGCTCGAGGAGGGAAGGGAAGTCGGTGGCGGATTCGGGCACGGGGAGGAGCTCGAGCGCTAGCGGGGGCGGAGGCGGCGCGGCGGCGGAGGGGAAGGCGAGGGTTGGGCTGCCGGAAGCGGACCCGCGGAGGCGCGCGCGGAGGACGGGGTGAGCGTCCAGGATGGCCCGCAGCGCCGCCTGGACGGTCGCCGCCGCCACCGCCGCCTCTGCGCCGCGCGCGAGGCGGAGCGCGAGCAGCGTCGTGCCGGTTCCGCCCGGCACGGCGCGGTACCAGCCGTACTCCATCCCGCCCACCGCGCGGGCGCGCCACTCGGCTGCCGCCTCCGGCTCGCCGCCGCCGCCGCCGACGGTCGCGGGATCCATGGATGAACAAAACTGTTTGGTGGTGGATCGGAGATCGTAGTAGTGTTGGACTGGTGGTTGGTCCGCCGCGGCGGTGTGGCGCTTTGTCGTCACCTCTCCTTCCTATGATCCTATCCCGTGGTTTGCTTACGCAACACAGACGATTTCGCAACGAAACAGTCGAGCTGATGGAATGCGAAATGGCGCGAAATGCAGCTCGTAGCCCCGGACAAAGTCGTCCCTGTCTCGTGCACTCGGGTGTGGCCGCCCGGCCGGCCGGCTGCCGGGCTTCAGTACAGTCATGATAGCGCAGTAGCATCCGGCACACGACTGGGCGAGAGCGTCGTACTCGCGTGGAGAGGAACGGTGAAGTGTTCCAAAATCTTCTTTTGATTGGTTACCGATCCACCACCACCACACGTTCCCGTGGCAATGCAAGGCATGGATGGTTTGATGATTTGATGGATGGAAGTTACCGTCGGCGCTTGGCGTTGTTCATTGGTAGAATTCTGGAACGTGCGAGCGCGTGTTGCATACTTGCATTGCCGCACACTCGCACAGCACTCAACTGGCGCTAGGCACTTCCTCTCAAAGACGACGTGGTTGCCGCAGCTCATCGAGTACATAGAATCAACGGTGGATCTGCAGTGAACCTCAGATTGCATATGATGGAAGATTGGAAGGAGGCGAGGAAACAGTCGACACGGTATCATATTTAAGGAGCAAATTTAAGAGAATCATTCCATTTGATCAACCTATAATATTTCTGTTAAGTTATCCATCTTCAACACCAACTCAATATCCTAAAGGAACATAAATTCACTATAAATCTCTTTTATTAACATATTTCTTTTTTTTTAAGAACATCAACAGAGTAGTTCTCATCCAATCACAAAAACAATGTAACCCTCCAGTGGTAAAAAAATGGCATGTTAACAACCTAGTCAAATTTTAGCAGCTGACAGAAAGTTGGGAACCATTATCTCCAGTAGCCCCTTGGGATTGTCCACATGAACCCAATGGCCAGAGTTGGGGAGAACGTGAAGAGAAACTTTACCAGCATCAGGCTTGCTCTCTCTCCTAGACAACGCTTTTAGCCTCTGAACATCATCAGAAAGCCATCTATCACTGAGCTCTGCTTGCACTATGGCGATGTCCAAACCCTTTGGTGGGTTCTCAAGCAGTGTCCAATAGCTTCTTTCTCTGTATATCAAGAATAATTTTCGTCAGTTTACAGATAGCAAAACAGAATTAAACATGTCGATGTATGATTCATATGAGCAAGCAGCTATTAACATTCATGGTTTATAATAAGCAGCTATTTCACAGATTTAGAATGGGTAGGAAATCAGAAAAGGAAGTGTGGTCAGAAGAAAAGGAAAGGTGAACATTACCTATAAGAATTAAACATATCTATGGCAGCCTGAAGATCAAACGCCCATGTCACATGTTCATTGTCCTTTTTTAAGTTGCTCCCAATCCATTCTGAAAGAGACTTTGAAAATCCCAAGTTGATCATGTGGTCGACAACCCACCTGACAGTAAACAGGCATCATCACTAAGGATATAACAAACATGAATCATTGGTCCTTCCTGATAAACATTATGATAGGGCCAAAACATTTGCTATCCTTTAACAGTAAGGCTCCTTGGTTGTATATACAGCATTATGAGACAATTGATCGAAGCAGGCATCAGTTATCATCTATATAGGGAGTCTAAAGTTATTTATACTGCTTCAGCTATAAAACAGAACAACATGAAAAAACTCAGGAATAAGACATTATAACACACCAGGTGTTACAGAGGACCAAGCTTGATGTTTGCTTCTGTGCACTTCTTTTATACGCATGGTGACATGCTCATAACATACAGGGGCTGTTCAGCTGCCTGGCTGCAGCAGCTACTGCTGCAACAGGAACAGTTATGCAAGCACGAGCATGAAGGAAGCAACGGGCTGCAGCAGCCCTGCCTGCCGAACAGCCCCACAGTTTACAGCGAAATAGTAACAATGTACAAAATTGAGTAAAATTCTGTCTTAGGATTGTTCTATTTGTGTGCGGAGTAACTAGTTAGTATGATATTCAAGATTCTATAAACTGCATTTTTTGTACTGTCATGCACTTTGGATTACCCAGGGGCTAGACAATTTGGCGCAAAAATAAACATGTTAAATCATACAGTTCAAATTAACAAATCAAGCAAATAGCAGGGATAAATTAAAACCGGAACAGCAAGGGAAGAGAGAGTACTTGCGCGATGGAAGCGATGAAGGAAGACTTGCCAGCGTTTGCAAAACCCGTTCAACTTCACCATCACTGTTATCTGTTTCTACTTGACCAGGAACAGAATCAAGCACCCAAAGCTGTTCTGCATCAAAACAAACGTATAACACAGTGAAACATATGTCCTTTCTCTTATGAATCAAACAAGGGAGAATTGCAAATATACCACTACTTTTACACTCGAACTCGAAATAGCCATTAAAAAAACGCAAACTGCAAATTTGCCACTGAAATAACCTCCGTTGGCTATTTCTGTTGGTTAAGGACAATTAAGAGGATAAAAACAATTCAGGAGAAATCAAGGCAACAATTAAACCGATTTGCCATTGCCAAGTATCGATCGATCCGGCCGCTCTCTGGTCTCTGCCTCTTCTCCAGAGTCCGGGCCTGACATACTCATCTTCTCCCTTCCCCTCGATCCCTTCTCTCTCCGCCCTCTTGAGAAACCCTAGATCCTCAAATCTCATCTCTTCTTCTCATTCGAGAACAAATCATCTGAAAATTGGTCACAATGAGGTAGATTGCAATGGAAAAGTTATAGGAGAGTGATTTTGAAGGGTTAGGGCAGCAAGGGGTCAGGTTTGTAGTGGCAGCAGCAGGCGGCTTGGGCAGTGATGGGCGACTGCGAGCGATGGAGGTTGGCGCTGCAACGGTCGGATCTGCAGGCGGCTTGGGCAGCGATGGGGGCGAGGCGAGCGCTGCAGCGGTCTGTTCAACATGTGGCTAGCTGCAGCTTGGGCGGCAGCAATAGGCTGTTGCGGCAACAGCAGCAGCAGCTTGAAGCACATCATCTGCCCACGAATTTACAGGAACACTACGACATCATTTTACCATGTAGCAGTAGAACTGTAGAAGGAGGATGATAAATTCATGCCATCACATGTAAATCTTACAATTTCCTGGCAGAGCATCCTGTCATAATTATCAGGAAACCAACCTTCTAAAGGTGTTTGTCCAAGCTGTCAATCCAATGGCAGATAGGATGGGTTCCAACCGATTTTGGTGGCAAATATGCAGTTGTATTTTTTTAAGAGCAAATTTCACAAAACTACATATTTTGTGGTCCAAGTTGCAGAAAACCACACGCATTTGACACTTGGCACTTGAGTACATATATTTTGGTCGTGTAGTTTCACAAAACTACACTATCGATGTATAGATTCACCCGCGAGATGATGTGGCTGTTTCACCTAGGACGAGGACATGGCATCCTATTACCAGCCATCGCACGAAATTAATATGATGCCACGTCCTCATACTAGATGAAACAGCCACGTCGTCAGATCACAAGTGAATCCATTCATCGATAGTGTGGTTTTGTGAAACTAAACTATCAAAATATATGTACTTAAGTGCCAAGTGTCAAAATATGTGTGGTTTTCTACAACTTGAACCATAAAATATGTAGTTTTGTGAAATTTACTCTTTTTTTAATGGCAGATTCACAATACCGGTTCAAACTAGTGGCATATATGCAATTGGCCCATCAAACAATGTCAGGTAATTAGAACGGCACTGTGCAATGAAATAAATCAAACCATGAACAAGAACAGGTATGTTTCTATGCCAAAAGGAATTCTTCACACCTGTTTGGGAAGATCAGCGGACTCCCCGTAATCACCGCGGGAACAGCTCTCTGCAAAATCCAGTGCCACCTTCCCACCCATGGAGTGACCCACGACAACATCCGGCCATGCCCAGCCACGGGCCTTCACCAAATCGGCGAGGTCCCTGGCCGCAGTTGACATGTCATGCGGCGGCCTCAGGCCCTTGATCCCCGCTGATCTCCCGTGGTTCCTCAAATCCACGAGAACCATTCTCCACTCTACAGGCAGAGGCATGATCACAGAACGGCACAAAATTCAGCCTAGGTGAAATGATTCCCTCCATCCCAACGATCAAATCCTATCGTTGCACATCGAGAACATTGCTAAATAGTACGAGGAATTTGAGGCATACCGTCGGAAGGGGAGCGGTCGCGGAGCTCGGAGGCGAGGGCGCGGGAGAAGGAGCGCCAGTTGCGGCCGGAGCCGAGGAGGCCGTGGAGGACGAAGGCGGTGGCGGTGGACGGCTTCTCGGGGGACAGCTGGATCTCGTCGAAAGCGAGGGTTTCGGTCTGGTTGGAGGCCTCCGAGTGGACGGAGGAGGAGAGGACGTGGCTCCACGGAGACCAAGCGGCGGAGGAGGAGGAGAGGAGGCGCGAGCGGAGGGAGGAGGACGATGCCCGGAGAGACGCCGCCATGGCCAATCGGAGTCGTCGCCGAGGCGGCCGCCCGCGATGACGATGCGACTGCGAGGTGGCGATGTGTTATTGGTGGCCGAAGACTTGGGAAATTTCATGAGAAAAACAGAGGAAAAAAAAGGGAAAAAGAATAAATTGTGACAGCTGTGGGATTTGAACCCACGCCCTTTCGGACCAGAGCCTAAATCTGGCGCCTTAGACCACTCGGCCAAACTGTCGTTGATGCAATAATCCGAATATTCAAATTTAATAAGTACTTCCTCCATACTCGCAAAGGAAATGCAGCGATACGGTCTCCAAAACACAACTTTAACTTCTTGTTTTTATAAAAATATTTATTGAAAAGTGATATGTGTATACTTTTATGAAAGTATTTTTTTCAGACAAATCTATTCATATAATTTTTACATTTTCAAACTAAACAACTTGAGAGTTATTTATAATTTATATTCCCAATATTTGACTTAAACATTGTCCTAAACGACTTTCTACGAGGGAGTACGTATTTATATTTTACACACCAGAAAATGTAATAAACTCATTGATGAACGGTTCAGATCATGTCCTGTGAAGCTGGCTGGCTGAGCCAACGGCCAAGCAATTTGCTTGAGCGAGCGGTATCACTTGCACCAGCTTATCCATCCTCATCCTCACACAAGCGAATCCGGTGAGCTCATTAGCTTAGCTCTGTGAACTGTGATTCTACTCCACTTCGAAGTCCAAAGCCTCTGAGGCAGAACGCCGCCATGGCGGTGGTGAGGCAGCTGCTGGTCCACAGGCTCTCCTGCAGTGGCCTGCCTGCTTCCCGCTGCAAGACCAGTTGCTGGAGCAGCGGCGAGAGGCTCCCTGGCTTGAAGTCAAGGGTAAGGTTGTTGGCCGTGGCCATCAAGCCACCGCGCGCCGCCGCGGGGAAGGACGAGATTGTGCGGGCGGACGACGACGACGACGGCGTCAGCCTCGGCACGGTGAAGCTGCCCGCCAACATCGACATAGCTCGGTTCGAGACGCTGCTCTTCCAGGTTAGCTGCATGAAGCCATGAATGAATTCTTCAGCCTAACCGATGCGTATTCTGAATGAATTCCGATGCATTGCTGCGTTGACACTTACTACAGTGGGGGAACAGCCTCTGCCAAGGCGCCACCCTGCCGCTCCCGGTGCCCCTGAGGGTAAGCGAACTGAAGAGCTAAAACGATACGAATTGTCACTTCACTTCAGAAATCCTTCGGATGATGGCATTTTTTCATGTGCAAAAAACAGGTGGACAAGGTGGAGGGCGGTGTCCGGCTAGGATTCATGGCGGTGGACGACGGCGTGACGCAGGTGCTGGTCTACATCGACTGCCTGGTGTCGCCGGCGACGGCCGCCTCTGGGCCGGTATTCCGAGCGATCAGGAACGGTCCTATGAAGGACCAGGAGCCACCTGGGGAGCCCAGGATCATGAGAAGCCTACTCGAGGCGCTCCAAAAATGTATCCAGTATGCACAAGTTTGAGTGTCCAAGAGAGGCGATGCAAGCCCATTATCTGAAGAAACTTGGAATTCTAAATTGGAGATGTAAATTCCCTGAGAGAAATACATGATACAGTACCAAATTAAAGTTTATTTTCCCTTTACTGCATCATTCTTGAGATATTCCAGTAGCAATATTGATTGGTCGTAAAAAGAAGGATACACACAGAGCAGGCAGGAAATGATGTCAATTGTATCTAAAAACTAGCCCTTTTTCAGAGTCAGTTGAAGTATACAGGACGCGGTGTCAAGGTGGCCTGGGGAAAAAACAGCCTAAAACTCGCCGATTGTCAACCACTAAACCAAACAACATAAGCTAACACGGAGCATTTATGAAGTGGAACAGGCTTCGAGCTTTGGGAGGACGCCTCGCCATGCATCAGCAATATCTTTAGCTAACTTTGCTTGGCCTTTGGCAAATTCATGGAATGCGAATCCAATATCAGCTGTTTTCTGCTCTTGGAAACGTGCAAGCTCTTCATTCATTACTGCAACTATGTGCTCAAACCTCTTTGTAGCCTCCTCACTGTCTGCTGTCAACTGCATTCACCCACAACACTAGTCAATACAACTTATTAATCCACAATTATGATCAATGACAAGAGTTCATCAAAGTGAATAAGAACAACTTGCCTCTCGGACCTCAGCTTCTAGTTCAGAAAATTTATCAGGGTTCACGAACTTCAATTTTTCGCTGCAGTAAGAATAGGATTACAAAACTTTCAGATGATATAAGGAAACTAAACGGATTTTAGACCCTGTATTATGTATTACTAGATTAGGACGTTTAATCACAAGGATTTGGTTGTTTAATCAGAAGAATCTTAGGCCACAATATTTATAAGGTCTATCGTGGAAGATGAAGATACTCGAATTTCATTGTTTATCCAGAATCCTTGGCAGAGAAAGAGACGAGTAAATGCAAAATATGTTGTACGTACAGATTAACCCCTTTATATTCCTTCTGCTGAAATAAATCATGATGCTGCCTGAAAGCATTGGCTCGATCCACCATAGTTGCCTGTCATTAACATGAGAAAACATGAACTCAACTTACTCAACTATTTGTCGATATTTAAAAGAGATTCCCGGTTTACAGTTAATAGATGCTGGGAGGACGGCACTACTCACTTTTATTGACTGCACAGCACGTACATAATCTTTCAAAGGCTCTTCAAAGTTAAAGAGAAGGTTGTCTGCCTACAGGAACATTGTGTCAACATCATTAGGTCATAGAAACTCAGGAATGAATGGTTATGTGGTATTTAATGCCAAGTGGTACTATCATGATAATTCTCAGTACCTCTCTTTGCAGCTTTACTGATAACATCTCTGACTTTGATCCAACTTCTGAAAAAACTTTTTCCAAGGAGTCCCCTTCGCAAGCACCTAAAAGCTTAATAGCCTTACCAAAGTCCGCCAAAGATTGCCCAAGTTCTAATGAATAAAAATTAGGAATGTGAGATTGGCGTTCCTATCCAGTTACACGGAATTATGTAGCCAAGAAAGGAACATGAGGTGTTGTTGATCATTGCTGACCAATAGCTTCATGCCCATTAAATATTTTGTGCTAAGTAAACTATTTCTTTAATTCGAAAGACTAAACTTGGATCAAACATGCATCTTTACTGCCATTGTACTTTGCGACTTCCAAAAATATAATTTTACGTGAAAATCAAATAACAAACTAGAAAAGCATGTAAAATATAGAGAAATGCAATACAACTAAAACAGGCTGTTTGCATACGATCAACTGATAGATATACCTCGGTGTCTTTTCACAAGACGGAATGCTTGTTTCTGTGCCTCTGCTAAATGGTTTTCTAGCTCAAATATGTAATTTTTAAGCTTTTCATATTCAGGACTAGATTCCTCCACAGGCTTTTCTTTTCCCAGAACAACATCACTGACTTTTGATTGTACATCCTAAGAAAATGATTAAGAATTAGTAGTTAGCCCACAATTTTAGAGTATATATGGAATTAGGGAGAGCTGGTAGCATGACATTCTGTTATAATCCTGTTGAAGACAAGTTAGCATCAATAATGTCTTACTGGACATCATAGATAAAAGTACCTTAAACATCTGTAAGAAATCAGAAGGCTTCTTGAATATACCAGTTTCATAAGACCTTTCTCTATCCATTTTCTGTTTTGCACAGGCAAATTAAACCAAAAAAAAAAGCATTAGCACAAGGAATATCTTAAAAATTCAGAAGTAAACCAAGAACTCTTTTGGTGAAAAGAACCAAGATACATATTATGTGGACCAGTAAATATATAAAGTTCCAAGAAAAAGCTATCAACAGATGATAAACCTTATGAAGCAAAAGGCTAAAGAAGACAATGGGACATTCTGCGCTTGAAGTCACTAATCAATTTGAATGGTCAAATGCTACCACAGCTGGATTGTCTGATGAATTCTTTTTCATTATCAATTTATTATGTTCTGATGAAAATTTCAGTGTGAAATACAATTAAAAAATATAGCATCATTTAGCATTAATACAGCATAAAACATGCATAGGCTAAGGCCAGTTGACCATTTAGTTACTTGACAATATTAGCAGTGATCTTTTAGGCAACTGTGAAATTTTTAAAAAGGATGACTGTTACACAGATTGATATCATGAATTTAAAGCAATACACAACCTAATAAGAAAAGAAAAAAAAAGTAAAGTAAAAGCTTGGCATGTAAATAGTTAACCTCTTCATCTGCCTGCAAAAATATCTTCAAATCTCCACTTTGCTTGAGTTCAGGATGTGAAGCTATTCTATTGACAAATAGATCCAGGGCTTGACGCCGTAATTCAATGAACTCTTTGCTAAACCGGAATTTTTCTGGCGGAAAAGCAAAATAATTACAGCCCATAAGCAAGAGAACACAATATTGATAGTTCTGTTCAATAGTCCACTTTTTTTTTCTGTTCTAGAGATAATAAAAGAATAGATTGTTCAGAAAACTATGCTGCCATCTTACCAACAGCATTCTTCTCTGGAAGGGGAGGTATAAAAATGCCTTTGTACTTCTCAGCAAGACGATCATGCAACCACTCAAAGTCACTATAGCGCCGGATAACAATTTTCTCTTGCCCCTCAAAGTCAGGCAGGTTGGTCTACACAGGCAAACCTTTCCAAATTAGTTGGTCATGTTAGTGCCAAAAATAAAATATTGCTCGAAACAGTCAACATGGTATGGCTACTGGGTAGCATACTTGCATTAGCCCAAAAAAACGAAGGGATGAAGAAACGTAAAATAGGTGTTCTAGGCTAGCTCTGAAGAGTATACAACGAAACGGAACCAAAAAAATAAAAACAAACTGCACATTCATTTGCCAGATTACAAGATTGCCATGTCACCCCATGAAATTATCTTGGACGGTAGCTTGAACGAAACCTTATATATATTTTAGTTCATTGCTTGCTTATATGTGAAAGTAAAAGTACTATTTTGCAAAACTGAAACTCACAATCCTTTTCTTCAATGCATTAGGTAACCCTCTCTGTATCACCATGATGGTGCATAACTTCTCTTTATCCCTCAATGTCAATGTAATGTTAAACATTGTCCTTTTTTCCTCTAGTACATAGTTGGCACTACTAATGACCGGGCATGTATTAAAGCTCGCTACTAAAATCCATTTGCATGCCACCGAGTTAATTTAATACTGGATTTTAAAAAATCAGATCTATATTAGCAAATTATATTCCAGAATTTGAGTTATACCAGTCCAGCTTTCACAATGGCATCACATATCGGGCAAAAACTTCTCTAGAATTGCCATAGCAGGGAGACAAGCCCCGTATCACGAAATACTCAATCGAACTAACTAACTATTTTGAGGGTTTCAGAACGAATCAGAGAACCTTGGTGATGACGCGATAGGAGATGTAGGCCTGGACTCCGGTACCCATCTTCACAGGATCTGTGACGGAGATCGACAGGAACGGCACCCCAGCCGCCGACGCCGGCGACCGGGGGCTCTGCGACTGGCTCCTCTCCTGCGACATGGGGGCTCAGTTGAACCTCCCAAACCTTTTGGGGAACAAACGAACTGTGATTAGTATCAAGGTTAAGGCAAATTAAGAGAAAAGCCTCCAGATCTACAAGAGAAGCTAGGGTCACCGCAAATTCGAGAAAGAACAGCGTGAGTAGAGAGAGATCGGTGATGAGGGGGATGTGCGTAACGGATGGATGCTCACCAGGATGCGGCGGAAACAGCAGGACGGCGGCGTCCCCCTGCTCGCCGGATAGAGAATCGGAGATCGGCGCAGACGGCAGGTGAACTCGCGAGGAGACGAGACGGGAGTCGACGAGGAGGGGACGGGGGCCTCGGGGAGATCCTGCCCGAATTATTTTTTGTTTATAATAATTAATTATTTTTGTTTATAATAAAGTCTTTGTAACGTACTACTATTGAGTTGTGATATGTAGTATATCTGTCTCAAAATAAATTAACTTTTGTATATAAATTGCATACAGCCTATATTAAGATTCGTGTAGCAAAGTTAATTTATATTGAAACGGAAGAGGACAGTTTATCTACTGAAGTTATGTATTATATAGTAAAATCGAACGATATCACTATGCTGTCCATGCACTAATAATGTTTTTATAAATGTTGGTAGATTTTTATTTATCACCCTACAATTTTCATCCTTCATCGATGTTCGCTCATGCTCCTCCCATCCTACATCCGATTTTCTATCAGGATGTATCATGGACTCACTTGTCCGAAGTCAAATGGGCTTTGTGTTCTTCTCATGATCAATGTTCTGGTCATCCCCCAAGCGTCATGTCTAGAGATCCCGCGTCAATTAGTGCCTCTCTCTGTATGCATTCTTCCTATTCCTAAACCGATAGCGAGACATGTGGGTGCGGGAGTGTGGTGTGGTGTTGGACTACAGTGCATAGAGTTCACAACAAGTAGTCATGCACTGGTGTGTCTGGGGGAAAGGTTCTCTAGTGGCTTCCTTTGAAGCACCGTTAGGTCGAGCAATCCTTCATCAAAACACCATCACCAACGAGTCAGAATGTAAGTTTGATGGATTATTTGGTTATTACTACTTACTAACTTGGTCAAACCATTCTTTCTCATTAGTTAAGATGTGGCTGCCATAAGAAGTGCGGTATGCTAACCACAGTTTATGCAAAAACCAAAAGTAAATCAATCAAGAATAAAAATCTTGAACTCGTGACTGTTTAGATTCGTAGATTCATAGGATGAATGTATCTAAGGTCCCGTTCTTTTATTCAACAAGAGTTGGATGAAGATTAATATTTTTGTGGCACGCTTTTCAAACTGCTAAACGGTGTATTTTGTGCGAAACCTTTATATATGAAAGTTGCTCTAAAATATCATATTAGTTTATTTTTCAAGTTTATAATAATTAAAATTCAATCAATCATATGTTAATACCACATAATTTTACGTAAAAAACTTAATCTTTATCTTCATATTTATTTCCAGGAGAAAAGAATAACACCATTCATTCTAAATAATTATATTTTGAAACGAAGAGAACACATTTCATTTTGAGTAAAATACAATAGCGGTCCTTAAACTTGTCATGAGGTTTCACTTAGATCCACGAACTTGCAAAACGCATATCGAGATCCCTAAACTTGCTTTATTGTATCATCCCGGTCTAAAATCTAGTTTAACCGTGGTCTGACCTACGTGGCACAGGCGTGCCACGTGGACGATGAGATTGGATTAGTGGGTGCTACAGCTCCTGCACGCCACTGTCGTCACTCCCTCTGTGCGTCGTCGCTGCCCCCTCCGTGCGCCGCCGTCACTCCCACTGCCTGCTGCCCCCTCCCTCCCTCTGCGCATCAGCGCCGCTATCAGAATCCAGACAGCATTCAGAGGCTTCCTGGTAAGCAATGGGTGCTCGTGTCCTAGCTCTGCTTCAATGGAGTAATCATGCCATGTGTTTGTGCAGGCGAAGAAGGTGCTGCGAGCGCTCAAGGCGCTGGTGAAGCTGCAGGCGCTGGTGCGTGGCTTCCTCGTTCGCCGGCAGGCCGCCGCCATGCTGCAGAGCATGCAGGCGCTCATCCGCGCGCAGGCCACCGTGCGCGCCCACTGCACCGGTGCCGGTGCCGCTGCCAACCTCCCGCACATCCACCACGCTCCCTTCTGGCCTCGCCGCTCGCTGGTACGCCGCTGGCGAAATCTCGCCGACGACATCACCATGTATATATTCGCCGTACTAGTTCTGTTCGATCTTGACGTTGTGTGTTGGCGATGGATGCAGCAGGAGAGGTGCGCCACCGACGATACGAGGAGCAAGCACGGCGTAGCGGCGTACAGCCGGCGGCTGTCGACGAGCATCGAGTCGTCGTCGTACGGGTACTACCGGAGCCCCAAGATCGTGGAGGTGGACATCGGGAGGCCCAAGTCGCGGTCGTCGTCGTCGCGGCGGGCGAGCTCCCCGCTGCTCGACGCCGGGTGCGCGAGCGGCGGCGAGGAGTGGTGCGCCAACTCCATGTCGTCGCTGCTGCCGTGCTACCTCCCCGGCGGCGCCGCCGCACCGCCGCCCCGCATCGCCGTCCCGACGTCGCGCCACTTCCCGTACTACGACTGGTGCACGCTGGAGAAGGCCCGGCCGGCGATGGTGCAGAGCACGCCGCGCTACGCGCACGCGCCGCCGAAGCAGCGGCCATAGCCGCGTCTGCCGCCGCTCCTCATCCCTCCGCGCACCAAAGCCGCCTCTCCCTCCCTTCCGCCGCCTCTGCTGCATCTGCCGGTCGCCGTGCCGCGTTGTCATCGTCACTAACCATGGCGACCGGATCTGGCGACCTCGCTGTCCTCGTCGCCGCCATGGTTGTCTGACAGTCGTGAGGAGAGTGGAGAGAGCTCGAGCTTGCCGATGGAGAGGGGAGAGAGAGTTCGAGCTTGTTGTCCTCTGCCACACGGAGCTCGACGCTACCGATACCGTCGCCCTTCGCCTAGGAGTTCGTCGGGGAGGAGAGAGGCGGCCCGATCTGCGCAGAGAGAGAGAGAGAGAGAGAGAGGAAAGGCGACGCCACCAGGGATGGGAGAGGCGGCGCTGCCGCCGGTGGTGAGCGGAGTGGGAGGGGAGGCGTCGGTGGCGTCAGGCCATCTCCGTCGGTGGGGAAAAGGAGGTGGGGAGGGGAGGAGAGGGGAAGAAGGAAGAAAAAAAATAAAAAAAAATCTATGTCATCGTCCATGTTGCGTGCCACGTAGACAAGACCACGATTAAACCAGACTTTAGACCAAGATGATACAATAAACCACCAAGTTTAGAGATCTTGATGTGTGTTTTGCAAGTTTGTGGACCTAAGTGAAACCTCATTACAAGTTTAAGGACCGCTGATGCATTTTACTCTTTTATTTTCAACGCACATAGATATAACACCTCCGTAAATACTTGATGTGCTATTTTTTGTTTCAAATTAACTATTCAAATCGTTACTACATTTTAGAGCGAATGAGAGAGCAATTACCAAATCAGCTGCCAACCAGAAGATCTGAGCCAAGCTACCAAATCAGCCTTAAAATATCTTAAGGGTGTGTTTGGATAATGGGAAATGTGGGGTAGGATTGGTATTGGAAAATGAAAGAAGGGTTAGAATTAAATGGAAGAGGGTGAATAAATGGTTAGGATTTAAAGATAGTTGGGAAATCATTTCCCTTTCCCATCTGTCAAACACCACCTAAAAGGACAAAAAGGCCACGCTACCTGAGGCCCCCATGGCCCAGAGTCCGCATCGGCACGCATCCATTGTTGCGCTGGTCACCCCGCTCGCCGCCGGCTCGCCGCCTCCCACCACTGGATCGGCCAAATCCGACGCCAGCGCCGCCGCCTAGCCACTCCATGGACCGCTCTCGCCACAAGAACTCGCCTAGTTCCGAGCGCTTCCTCGGCTCCTTCCTCCCCTCCGCGGCCGCCGGCGACCAGCCCGGATCGGCGGCCTTCGAGCTCGACGAGGACGACCTGTTCGCCTCTGGGGCTGGATCCCCCGAGCGGCCGCAGCCGTCTCGCCGCCCTCTCATCCTCTCCGCAGTCCGCGCCGCAAACCCTAGCCCCCTCCCCCGCCTCCGCCGCCCGCCGGAGGGCATCCTCGATGCTCTCCCCGAGCGCCGCTCCCCTTTCTCACCGCCTCCATCGTCTTCGTCGAACTCGTCGACCACCGCCTCCCCAGCGGCGGCGGCGGCTGCTCCTCCACGCCTGATCCCCACCATCCCCCGCCCGGCGGCGGCTCTGGCACCACATATCCCGCAGTCTGCGCCGGTGAATGTGCCGGTAGCGCAGTTTAGGCGGTTATCGGTGGAGGCACTGATGGATAAAGCTGAGGATGACGACGACGACGACGAGGAGATGCTGCCGCCGCACGAGATGGTGGCGCGAGCGCGGGCGCGGGATTCACCGATGACCACCTTCTCGGTGCTGGAGGGCGCCGGCCGCACGCTCAAGGGGAGGGACCTCCGCCAGGTACGCAATGCCGTGTGGCGGAAGACAGGATTCCTCGATTGATCCGTGCCTTCTGCATTCAGCTGTAGCTTAAGTTAGATTTGAGTGATTGGTTATGCACTATGCATGTTTGAATTTGTCTGTGTACAACATGGATGATCGGGTGTTAATTTTGGTTGCACCTGTAAAATATGTCTGTCATATTATCAATCATTATTACTTGTAAACCCTTGATTGGAGCTGTCAATTGTTCAGCATTGAACTATTGGATAAGGTGAATTGTGACCTCATGGTGGATACTTCTGTGTTTATCTACTTAATTTATGTTGGGGTATATGTCTCCCTTTTAATGATGCTTTGGTTAGATTACATCATGAAGTGATTTTTATTGAGCGCGATCAATTTTTGGGCATTTTGAGGATTGGTGGTGTGGTCCGTAGATTGCTGTGTTGTGGCTATGGAGCTTGACTTTTTAGCTAAGCTCATTACTAGCTACCATAGCTCGTATGTTCAGCTAGCACCTTGATTCTGTAAATTATGGACAATTTTGGCCACCTCTTGTGAAATTGCTTATCTGTTGATCATCAGTCATGCTTGATCTGTGAATCACATTAAAGATGGTACCGTAGGATGTGGAAATAGATTTTGGATTCATAGATTATGTTATTTAGTACTTGAGCTAAACATTTTTTGCTTACTGTGTAGCTATGGTTGTATTTGATATTTACATCTATTATAAGTTCTGCTTGGTAGCTTACAGAATAATCTTAAGTGCCTAGATATCAGAGTCGATAGCCTAATTAATAGCTAATAGATACTGAACTTGGTCAGGTAAACAGTTAGACAGTTGAACCCTCTGAACTACATTAGCCAAGGAAAAACACGAACAAACTTACTCTAAAACAGGTTTTAAGATTGTCCAGAATGTAGCTAGATACATTGTTTTGTATCTGCTAGACTGTTAGGTCCTATAATTAACTCCACAGCTAGCTGTTGGAATGGTTTAAGCATACAGAAAATATACCTTGATATAAACCCATGGCCTCCCATTTGGTCACCTGTTCTCAACTGTATCAGCAAGGAAATGACTAAGATTATATGTATATATGTATGGGAAAAACATTATATATGTGATGATTGGCTTCCAAGTGTCTAGGACTAGGAGTTGTTTCTCTTCTTGACTTGTTTCGTTTCCAAACCATCTTATAGTTATCCCATTGGGTAATTCGGACCTCAACTTTCATCAAAGTCCATTTTTCACCCTGAACTACAACATCGGTTATTTTTCACCCTAAAATTTCAAAACTGGACAAACTTCACCCCATGATTGTTTTTAGTGGTGGTTTTAGCCATGTTAAGAATCATTTTACTATTCTTGTGCTATATTGGTTGCTAACTTGGTACCGCTTCACAAATACGCTTTATATCTTTCTCTCTTTGTATTTCCCTGTCATCTCTCTAGTGTGAGGAAATGAGGGACAAATGTGTCATGTGGAACTGGAATCAGTGCCATATTAGCAACTAGGATAGCATAAAGTGGTGTTGTCGCTTTAGACTCAGTAGGTACCACCATTGAAATTAGTCGTAGGGTGAAACCTGCCCGGTTTTGAAAGTTTAAGGTGCAATAACCGGTTTTGTAAAGCTTGAGGGCCAAAAGAGGACTTTACCCTCTCCCGTTCAGCTTGGTCTCCCCAACTTCAATTATGCCTTGCCTACTTGCTAAATGCTGAAATGCTTTTTGGTATTGGTAAGCATTCTCAAGCCCAGCCTAGTGCATGGCCCATAAGGCCATAACACCAATGCTTTGGTCTTAGGCTTTGAGCATTCTGTATTGGGCCTCTCTAAAACTTGTAAATTCTGTGTAATAAATAGTATTTGAGCGAATAAAAAGACGCAGTGTTGGCCACCATGTGATATAGTAAAAATTTACCACCGTTTGGTGAGCAGTACACAAGTCAGATTTTCATTGGAGAGTAGTCAGGTCTCATCCGTTGGGCGGGTGAAAGAGTTTACCTTCATGTTTTGGAAGTGAAAATCGTCCCTCGCTAGTTTGGAGAAAAACTTTTGGTCAACTCCATATGAGGAACAGTTTTGTTAACTATGGTTTTCTGCACTTTTACCTCTAGGTTCTAATGAAGAGGATCTGTTTCCTTCACCTGTAAATGCAGAGGATCCGTTTCCTCAAGGTGGTAGTTCAGCAACTCAGCAGCGTCTAGGCAGAGAGATGCAACGGAAGAAGCGAAGCATCAAACTTGTGCTAATATCTTTGTTAAGTACAACTCTGATGCTAATATGTGCAAGAGTAGATGCACTTAGTCTGATTATAGTAGCTTTGTAGCCACTAGATGACTGGCGGTTGGCAAACACAAAATGTCCATTCCAAGGTTCATTCTTCACTGATTGGACTTAAAATGAACAGAAACAAATTAAGTCTTGGCTAGCCATCCAGTTTCTGATCTTGTTTTTACTAACTCTCTTTGTGATGCCCGTGCTGTCTACAGTGTAGCCATGGCGTATGGCAGCTCAGTGAAGAGCTGGAACCAGGAACTGCTGACCGGATGCCTCCTGTAGTCCTGTGACCAAACTATAGACACATGAACGAAATTGCAAGCCTGGCTACAGAGGTATACTGAAGTTTGGATAAGATCACCAGGAGCAGAAAAAACACGGGGGGTTATCCTGCGCCTCTCATTTGACATCCACATGCAAAAAATCACTCGCTGATGGCTGTGCCAGTGGCTCAGTGTAGAGTGTAGACAAGTCATGTGGCTATCAATAGATCATGACAACTGCCGCCAGCTTAATTAGTCGAAAAATCAACACTGAATAATGCTGCGGCTGTTAGCTGAGTTCAGTTGTAAAAAAAAAGGGGGCCAAGTCTAGTTTCAGAGTCAACGCCTTGACGCATACAATGGCCAATTGCGCTTTACCATTCACGTGATGAAATCCAGTGTATTTGACTGATATGGATGTCTGCAGAGCTACTAGTACCTATTGGGGGCATGGAAGGATTTACTAATTATGATAAGAAAAAGGTCAAATACAGACAACAGTAGGTGGGTTTAATTCAAAAGGACGCTAAATATATGTGCTTGGTTTCTCTACCCTTATTGCTATTTTGCTTTACAGAACTCTTGTTTCTATCACTGATATCACATACCTGGTTTCTTTCCTTTCAAACTTTTCATCTTTTTGTGTCTAATTTTCTTTGGAGGATTCTTTAGCTCCAGCATTGGGCTGTCCGATCCCTAGCACTAACTGAAACCTTTCCTTGATAATAAAAACCTTAGAGAAACTTAGAAAACTGAATGTTTTTTGCCACATTGTTGTTGTGTAAGCTAACAATGATGTCAGCATTCGGGCACAATTGGACTGGGGGATTTCCTGTTTTAGAAACATTAGCAAAATGCCCATACATTGTTACAGAATTAAGAAAATCACATTGGAAACAGAAACCTATTTTGAATTTGAGAACTTAATTTCAGAATTAAGTAAAGGCTTTTGGTTGCTAAGTTTTCGCTCTCTACGAAAATGCTCCATTTATTATTAGCATTTAAGGATGATCAACCAATGGTTGAGAGCTATAGTGCATGTCCATTAGAGCACTCGCAATTGTAAAGTAAGGTGCTACCTATAAAACATGTATATCTCAGCAATAGACTAGATTAATATTAAACCACTTTAATGGTATGTCTACTTGGGTATCTATAGCTCTCTAATCCATTGTCTCGTTTTTCTCTATAGACTATCTATATGTTAGTAGATAGTTTTGCTCTCTCTCTTCATTTAATCTCTTCCAAGTAAGAAAATATGCTGACATGGATCTCTTGTAGAGAGCTTATAGATAACCATTGTGGGTGCCCTTACTTATATTGTTCTTCCACATGTTTGGTTTTGATATAGGATAGAAAGTAGTCCCACATAAAACAATTTTAAGGAGTTGATAATAGAGTGGTGACAGAATCGTCACTTTGCAGTACAGAAGTTTTGATAAATTTATTAATGAGCCATGGATAATAAGGTTCAAGAAATAAAACCGATTTTCCCTATCCCATTTGTTTCATCGTGAGAAGGACCCTTTATCATATTCTGTATTTTACTGTCATTAATAAATTCACATCTCGTGTGAACGTGAAAAACTACCGACCACCGGACGAGTTAGAAGTGTGAAAACACGGTCATCCTATGTGTGAAAGCGAAAAGAACATGAATATGGAACCGATGAATGATTCTTCCTTCGAAAATGCTATACATACAACCAAAGCGTCTGACCCTTGTACGACTAAGACGTTCGCCGTCCGTGTCTCCACATCCGCATAGATCGCTAATTTAGTTGGGCCTTACAAAAGCCCAACTCAATAATCTGGCCGCACGTCCGCACATCGTTTCATGTAGCCGATAATATTGCCTCAACGTGACTTTCCATCTCCTTCTATCCTAAACCCCACGGTCTAATTCCTTTGTCTTCCATCTCTAATCAATTGCTTGAGTTCAATAAGATGTAATTTAGCCGCACGGCCACATTGTTTTATCTAGCCAATAGTATTCACTGATCACATCACACAAGGTATGTGAAAGCTACTGATTTATTTATGCCTACTCCAAATTTTCATCTGAAAAATCATAGACATGAGATAAAATATCGTTGTGCGGCTAAAAGGACATGTTGTGTCCTTATAAGTTTAGGCTTGAAATAATATATGGGCTTTGATGTGGATTATGTTACGTGGGACAGTTGGAGCAGCAGCCCATTTGACCAAGTCAGTGCTGCCTCACGCCGTGTAATTCACCGTTGAGTCGTACGCCAGTCGAACACGCTAGTCGGATGTATAGCAGCGTTCTCCTTCCTTGATGATAAATTTCGTATGCTGTTTACGGCAATCATCGATGCGCTCATCCCTACCGACCACGGCTACTGATTCCAGAACTAACGGCTACCGGACGGTCACTGCTCGAAGCAAGTTTTGTTGTGATCGGTTTGGGCCTATTGGATTGTGACATGGACGGCTGAGGTTACGTGCAGTTGCAACAGCTCCACAAATAAAAATTTTAAGGAGTTGATGATAATAGAGTGGTGACAGAATCGTCATTTAGCAGTACAGAAGTTTTAATAAATTCATTAATGAGCCATGGATAATAAGGTTCAAGAAATAAAACCGATTTTCCCTGTCCCATTTGTTTCATCGTGAGATCGAAGGACCCTTTATTTTATTCTGTATTTTACTAGCATTAATAAATTCACAACTCGTGTGAACGTGAAAAACTACCGAACTCTCCCCATAACTTTTTTTCATCCAAAAAAACTTGTCAACTAATCTTGCAAAATGCCAGATTGAGCAACGCACGGATACGACGGTGTCCCGGCCGGGGTTGGGCTGCCGTTGCTGCCTGCCCGTGTAGCGACCGTGCGACGCAGAGGTACGGGCGGTCCCTGTCCACCGAGCCGCACAGGCAGAGGCAGCGCGTGCGTCGTATCTGCCGCGGGATTCCGCCGTCCGGTCCTGTTCCGGCGTCGCGCGTGCGTGGAGCGATCCATCATCCACCGCTCAAGATTCGCACGTCTCCCCTTGCACACGACTCATTCTCGTCCCAATCATCCGCCGGTTCGATGTATCCAGCGACTTTGATGGCACACGTCGATCCATCCATCCACCAGGGGGCCCGTGGATCCGGTCTCGTTGCGGTGCTCTGCACGGCGCCGGCGTTTTATCATTGGCGTTTTGCTGATCCGCGCGCGCGCGCAGAGCGAAGAGGAGGATCTCCGCCTCCGCGTGTCGCATTGACCGCGACCCCCCGCCCCCGGCTTGGCCGAGAGGAGGTGTCTTGGGCGGTCGGGCGAGCGCGGGTGCGGCGCGGACACGGCCGAGAGCCCGAGACGTCCCTGCGTGCGCGGTCTCCTCTCGGTTTACTGGCTCGGAGGAGGGCAGCGTGCGCGCGCGCGTCGCCGTCGTGGTGAGCTGGTGCGCGCTGGGGTGAAACCCGGCCGCGTACCGCCACGGAAGTAAACGGATAGGTTGGGAGGAGCTAGTGATCGGACTGGGTCTGGCCGAGCGGGGAGGGAGCAGAACAGCAGTCGTGCCGAGCGTCAAGGCGACATGGACACGATCCTGGATGGGCCGAAACCGTGAAACCCAAGTGCCGGTCGGTCTAAGTACACGGGCTCTTCTCACGAATCAGTCAGTCAATCACGATGCTCTTTCTCTTCCTGGTGCCGTACGTACATGTGGTGCGGTTCTGTCTACTTGTTCCTCATCGTGGCTACCGTTATGGTCCACAAACATTCCACTAGGCTCGGTAGCTCGCGACCGTAGTTCAGCTGACGTACGTTAGTACGTACATGTGTGCTGTGTCCGTAATTCTAGCATTTTTTTTACCCCAATAAAATTCAAATCATGTTCAGGTAGTCCAATTTACGTGCCTCGTCTCTGACTGTGTAAACGGACGTGCATGCAGCAGATATTGTAGATGTCGACATCGGTGAGAGACTGAGAGCAAACGTTTCATTAATCCATAACCGGTGCGATTTTGATTTGGATCCTCGTGATTGACTTGTTAAAACTGGCAGCAATATTGTGTTCGTTCGTGCAGGAACGCGCGTGGGCCATAGAATCAGGAGTTCGAAGACCTACGGAGCACGTACCCTAGCGACGCGTTTTGCCGGGGTAAAAATGGGCCTAAAAAAGACGGCATGGCTGGATGACACGATAGCAATTTGAGCGACGGGTTCACCATTCTGACGCCCTTTGGCTCACGGCACGGCCGGCCAGTCGGTGTCAGTGCTGTATATAGTATCCGGCTAACTTGGAGGTACAACGTACAAGGCCAATCTTCCATTTCCTTACCTCTTGTGGAACTTGACTTGGTGAAAAGCGCACCCATTAGGCCATTACTCCGTTATCTTCTTTTTTATGATACTATTGTAATTTATAGGCGCTGAGATATTACCTTTTTTTTTTGCGGGGCTGAGATATTAATGTTGATCAGACAGCAGAGTTATCCCAGCCGATAGAAAAAGTTATGCTTTCGTACATCAGACGAGTGTGAGAGTGATATGTTGTTGTTGGTACTGTAAAATAGGTTTTCCAAATTGGTTGAAATAGCCCCTTCACAAAACCAATTTCAAAATGGTATTGGTCCCATATGACATACGCCAAATGAATGGCTGGTGTAACAAACACCAGTAAGAGCAGGTAGTACAATAGCAGGCCATTAGCAAGCTACAAATATATTTTAATGAGATAAAAGATAAGATAGAAGAGCAGCGGGCTACAGATCTGTAGCCACCTGCAGCACGGACTCTAAGACACATGTGTGTATAACAGGTGAGACCATATATTAATAGTATAGTAAGCAACTATTGTATGAATTGGCTATAGATTGGCTATAGATGAATTGGAGCTAGTAGTGGGCTATACTATTAAACTTGCTCTAAGGTTGAGTTTGTTGTTGCAAGTTGGGAACTAATCTTCCGCACACGCAAAACTGAGTAAGTATTAGAGTAAGTATGATTTTTAAAGCAACTTTCGTATAGAATTTTTTTTTTTTGCAAAAAACACACCGTTTAGTAGTTTAAAAAGCATGCGCGCGGAAAATGTGGGAGATGAATTGGGAAGATAATAAACGAACACAGCCTAAGTAGGAGCAGGGGTAAAAATGTTTCTATAAGAAAAACATATAGTTAGCCCCACGTGTTACATGACATAGCAATCCAGTCAAATAATATGTTTCAAAAATATAACATTGTTCCAAAATATAACAATTTAATACTAGAATAAACATCACACAATAGTATGGATGGCCTAAAATTATCTTGTGACGATGGGAGTAGTAACTAAAATGTTGCGGCCTTCTATCCCTCCATTTTAGAATGTAAGATGTTTTTGGTTTTGTCCTAAGTGAAGATTTTGAGCCAACTTTATAAAGGAATGTAGAAAAACATCCACAGCATCAAATTAATTGTATTAAATCTAACATTCTCCCAAAGTCCCTTTTCACAATTGATATTGAAAACATTGTTATGTATTTTTATAAACTTTGTCAAACTTTCGAACTATAAAGCAAAACAGGGTACGTAAGTTTCAAAAGCTTATGGAGATTTTCCAAAGTATTAGTAAAAGCTACCGAACGAAAGCATTCAAATTTGGCAAAACATTGCATATCACATTAATGTAGTATCATAGAAGAGGTCAAGACAGGAAAGTAGGAAACTAACAAAAAACAAACAAACAAACACACACACACACACACACAGAGAGAGAGAGAGAGAGAGAGAGAGAGAGAGAGAGAGAGAGAGAGAGAGAGAGAGAGAGAGAGAGAGATGGGAAACAACAATATTCAAGGACCACAACTTTGGGCCGATTCAAGCATGCCAAAGTGCATTCTGCAAATGTGTCTCAATCCAGCAATAACATATGAGAATCCGGTTCTCTGAAAATTAAACGCAGGAGCAATGCTTGTAAATTCACACTACTGCGGTTCTAAAGGATATTCGCACTCATGTCGGCAGAAAAGCACAAACTACCCGTGCTAACTCTATCCGTATGTCGCAGTAATATTGAAAAAAAAACAAATATCATGCATAGAAACACTTGGTTTGTTGAGGTTCTTTTGGATGGTGTCTGATGAGCCGACACAAGTGGGCGAATGAACGAAAAATAGTTTTAGGCGATAATTTTATAGTTCAACTAAGAAAAGCCAATGTTAAGAGTAGAAGGCCACAATAATATACCTAATTCGTTCAGAACTTATTCACTCCATCCTAAAATAAATAAATTCATAGAGTTAAAAATTTATCCTAAAATAAATTAATTGTTGCCTTCTTTTGCGTGGACACAATTTTCTTTTGTGTGGTAATTCTTGCTTTCTTATCCACCATTGATTCACAAATCAAGAAGTTTATCCCTTAAACACTCTTCACATTCCCCAAAATAGAGGGCACTTTAATTTTTCATCCTCACCACTAATATTTCTCGTGATACGGTTTGGCTTATTTTAGAAAAAAAAAATTATCTCCATTTCAAAATAAGTTAATCAAGAATATATCAAATTCCGTATTAGATTAATTTATTCTGAAACGGATAGGACGAATGGAGTAGTAAGTCTAAAATTTTAATCTGACCATGGCTTATAGAAGAAAGAGGTGCCAAGTAGGCCCGTACGTGGAATTGTACATAGCCTTAACTGCAAGACGTAAAGGAAAAACATATAAAAAAACAGAAAATATCAAGCACGCGTCATCACCAGCAAGTGACGGTAGCAGTGTTCTTCAAACAAACCGAGTTAAACTCCTCTGCTAGTTAAAGGCGAGACAGCTACTTAGGAAAAGGAGGATAAAAACATAAAATGGAATTTCAAAAGGGAAAGGGAAAAGGAAATGAAACTAGACCCAGTCCTCCGCACGAGTCCACTGGATTAAGCGCCTCCCTCCCACGCCACGGCTACACCAAAATTTGCCCCCACTCTAACTCTCGTGTTGATTGCAGCGAATTTAGATTTGAGAAGAGCCAGTCAGGCAGTCCCACCACGCCACGAGAAATTTCTACGCCCATGTCAGCGGTGACGACGCGCGCGCGTGCTTCTCCATATATACACCGCGCGCGTGCACTCACACCTCTCCTCACCACTTTCACCACCAAAAAAATCGACCAAACCACGTAGTATTACGCAGTTCGCACACTATACTCCGATCCGGCCTCTCCAACCCAGCTTAGCTTTTCTGCTCCCAGCTGCCAGCTACGTTGCAACCCCACCACCGGAAAGCTACACCGTGCGTTTCATATAAGCAGCGCCCAGTCGAGCGAGCTCGACCGGCAATAGCAATAGCGCCAAGACATACAGAGAAGCCACAGACGTCGAGGCAGCTAGCGCGCGGGGGAGGACAGGACACTGCAGCAAGTTGGCCGGTGATAAGCGCGCGAACTCGCTGGCAATATGGCCGACGGCGGCGGCCGCCGGGCTCCCGGGTTCCGCTTCTACCCGACGGAGGAGGAGCTGATATGCTTCTACCTCCGCAACAAGCTCGACGGCCTCCGCGACGACATCGAGCGCGTCATCCCCGTCTTCGACGTCTACTCCGTCGACCCGTTGCAGCTCTCAGGTACCAGCACACGCGTGTACGTGCATTGCGTTCGTCGTACGTCGCGCGAGCGCCGCGTCACCTGTATACACACACCTGCTGCAGAGATTCACCACGAGATGCTGGGCGGCGGCGGCGAGGAGGGGGAGCCGTGGTTCTACTTCTGCCCGCGGCAGGAGCGGGAGGCGCGGGGCGGCCGGCCGAGCCGGACCACGCCGTCCGGGTACTGGAAGGCGGCGGGCACCCCGGGGGTCGTCTACTCCGCCGACCGCCGGCCCATCGGGATGAAGAAGACCATGGTGTTCTACCGCGGCCGCGCGCCGTCGGGAACCAAGACCGCGTGGAAGATGAACGAGTACAGAGCATTCCACTACCCCGACGCCTCCTCCGCCTCCGCCTCCAGCGCCGGCGCCGCCGCGCCACCAAACCATCTTCCTCCGCAGGTGATTAATCAATACCTAAGTACACGTTGCTTTCTTTGCCGTTGCACATACTAGCCGCATACCTTGTCACGTCATCTATCGATCTCTCCGTATAAATCAGAAAGATATGGCCGGCGGGGGCAAACTACTTGTTTTGCAGGTCGTTCCCTTTTATTGGCGGCGGGTAAATATCCAAACTTGTATATTCTGAGTGGTTCTTGCCAAACTGCCAATGAACCGGGTGCTCCATCATAAAGCATTTGAACCACACGCGTTGATCCATACGCACCAGTGTATAACTATACAGTACATGCAAGTATGCAACTGGGCGAATGCATGATTCGTGACTCCGTCCGTATGCAACTTTTTAAATGGTTGCATGGTTGACGCACTGTTTATGATTTACTCATGTACGAAGACAATTAATTGACTTGTAATTAAGTACATTTGAAAACACGATCAATGACGACTAATTTGTCTTGTGGGCTTTCGCTGTTGCAGCTGAGGAGCGAGTTCAGCCTGTGTCGACTGTACACCAGATCGGGAGGCATCCGGCAATTCGATCGGCGGCCGCTAGCGGGTGGTGGTGATGAGAACCCGGGGCCATCCATGGCTGCCGCGGCGGCGTCACCCGAGGAAAACGACGGATCAGGAAGTTCCATGCAGCAACTGGAGCTGATGGATCAAGGTGGCGCCGTTGATCCGGATTGGGACCAGTGGGACGACTTGGCCACCTTGACCGCACTTCTGTACTGGCCTAGAGATTAGGGATGCCAATTGTTTACATGATCTTGCTCGTAGTGCTAACTGTGAAGTGCATGTTACACGTATCAACGACCAAGTGTAGTACATGCTTTTTTTTCTTTTGCCGCGCAAACTCTCCAGTATTAACATAAGAAAAAAAAAATCAGAACACACACAATTTTTTTTGGTTTCTCCAAATATATAATTAATTAATTATTGTTTTCTTCAGTTAATCATATTTTTCTAGTTGGATCTTCGCCCTTGGCCCTGTGGGATCTCCTCCAACTTTTCTGATAATAGGATTTGTTTATACTAGTTCATCCGTCACAAAATGTAAGGTATACATGTATTTTAGATGGTTTCATTAATACAATACTTCTTTGAATGTTTATTTGTTTTATAATTTCTCCTGAACAACTACAAAATATATCAACTTGATATGAGCACACTGTCAATACGAGACTAATAGCATCACTTGGGTGATATTAAACATATTGCTATTTTGATTATTAGTTAAGAGTTATGAATATTGACTTTCTTAAAAACATGGGTGCACAATATATGTTGTGGGGGCAGAGAGAGTATTCTTAAAAGAAAAAAGGTAACGATGGGGGTGGTGGCGGTGACCTAACCAACCGTATTTATATTTTTTTATTAACTTCTCTATCAGTTTTAAGTTATAAGATGTTTTGACTTTGGTCAAAGTCAAACTACTTTAAGTTTGACTAATTCTGTAGAAAAAGTAGTAATATTTTTAACCCAAGACTAATATATTATGAAAATTTATTCAATTATAGATTTAATGAAACTATGCTGGTGTTGTAAATATTACTACTTTTTCTATAGAGTTAGTCAAACTTAGATTATTTTGTCTTTAACCAAAGTAAAAACGTTTTATGATGTGAAACGGAGGGAATACTCTTTTACGTGTTTGTAAGATTGCAAAATAGTGTAACACATTGGTTATATCTGATACGAGTAAATTGCACAGTGGGCAAGGTTTTATTACCTAATTAAGTTTAACATACCAGGTCTTTTTTTTAGAAATTTATTGGACCAAGTCTTTGCATACCTTTTTACTTAACATCATGTATTAGTTGCACACTGGACCATGTCTTTACATACATTTTCACTTAACACCATGTATATGTATTGTTCATTCGTTTGCACTTTGGATCGGGTATACAAGTTAGCTGTGCTTCCTGCCCAAAAAATCGGGACCAGTGTATCCAACATGAGCCATTTACATAGATAGTTGACTCGAACGCGTACAGTTTAATTTGGACGAACCGTCGCGTGCAGCTAGCCGCCTGGCCTTGCAAGGGATCGACTGAGGCTGCCCAAAGCAGCTAACTTATTACCCGATCCGAAGTGCAAATAATGTAACAAGATATGGTGTTAAGTGAAAAGGTTTGCTAAGACATGGTTCAGTGCGCAACTTAGGTAATACTTTGCCCATTGTGCAATTTACTCTTATCTTATTTCATATATAAAATGCAAGTTTGTCACGCAAAGACATATGTAGAGATGAATTGCACTTAATTTGTTCCAAACAATGCTTGAATGCATAATTTTTAATATTTATCAGTGTCAAAGTAGGGTATTTAGCTAGTATTAATGGCATACTTTTACGTCTATTGTTATTGAGATGGGTCCCATTCCTCACGAAACGCATATCGACCAAGTGAAGACCCCTAGACCAATGAAAGTTGTTCAACCATATAAAGCCCCCAACAAGGTGGTCAATAACGTATTACGCCAGAACCCTACATCTGTGACGGCACACCAGTAACGGGTTTATAAATTGGTCACAGATGACCGTCACCTTTGACGGGTCGTTAGATTTACCATCATCGGTGAGGCATCTGGCCGCGGCCCGTCACAAGTATCACCTCACCTGTGACGGGCTGGAATTTTAAGCCGTCACAGGTAAGATAGTGACGAGTTTGACTTCCAACCTGTCACTGGTATGACCTCATTTGTGACGGGCCAGGGAGTTACAACCCTTCACAGGTGATGGGCCGTCACCTGTGACGGATATGACTTCTGGCCCGTCACTGATTTTAAGTTTGCACCCGTCAAAGGTGATCAATTTTGACATATAAAAAAGGAACCCCCACCCCCACCCATGGGCCCACCGCCACCTGCTCAGTCTCTCTCCTCCTCCTCTCAGTCTCTCTTCTCTTCTTCCCACCAACCGCCAGCCTCCTTCGCCCACCTCCAAAGGTCGCCACCTCCTTCGCCCTTCGCCCCATGGTCGCCGCCGTCGTCTCTCCGCCGCCCCGTCATCGGCTCCTTCGCCCACCGCCTCCGAGTCGCTGCCTCCTTCGCCCACCGTCCACGGTCGCCGCCTCCTTCACCCACCGCCCACGGTCGCCGCCATGCCTCCACCACTCCAGATCCGGGTCATCGCCTCCTTCCCGCCTCCACAACGCCAGATCCGAGTCGTATCGAGCCAAAGACGAAGACAACGCCGGTGCCAGGACCATCGGCGAACGGGGCACCACGCCGCTGCCCAACGCCATCGACAAGCCCCTCCGTCCATCGCCGCTTATCTCCGGTCGACGACGAGCTTCTACATCCCCCACCCTCCCCCTGACGGTCCCAGCAACCATGAACTCGGGGGCTCCAGATCCGGACACCCTGAACTCAGAGGTCGCGGATCCAACCATCCCGAGTTTGGGTGCTCTAGATCTTGCGCTCCTAGCTTCAGCGACGCCAGATCCGTTCGTGAGGTAAGTGGTCCGCCGTCCACACCACCCCACGTCGTCGAGGTCAACCTGCTGTGGGGAGAGCAGGCGTCGGCTGTCCCCTTCCACCCCATCCTCGGTAGTCACTGCCGCCTCATCTATTTTACTCAGTTTAGTGCTAAGCAGAAGTCACCCTTTCCTTCTCTTGCATCCAGATCTGAGCTTGCAGTCAACCGATTCCGGTGTCTCCTGTGGTTCCTGTGGCTAAATCCTTGTCCAAGGATGCATCTAGCTTTAACCCCATCAAAAATCATGAGCTATTGGATCATTAGTTAGATGCTCTTTGTGTACTAGTATTTTGTTTGGATAGTGGGCATGCATGCTGTTTCGCTTTGTTTTCTTGTTCTATTTAAGTTGATGCATCACTAAATCTGTTTTTATTTTCCTTGTTAGACCTCTTACCAGAAGTTTTTTTTGGGTGTGTTCTTGGATACTCTACAAATCCCCCAATTTCTATGCTAGCTGAACAAATTAGACGCTAGTTCTTTCTACAAATGGTGAGCTTCCTCTGCCAGTTGATCTATTTCCGTTTCTTTCAGATAATATTTAACTACTGACATGCATATGGATGACTATCAAGGATGGTTGAAAGGCTAGCTAATGAATACTAATCTGAGGTAAACTTATTTTTGCCTTCTCAGTCAGAGTGACCCCATTTTAATTTGTTGTTTTGGAGCAGCTTATGCTGATTATCTGGCTGTTAGGCTATTCTTGCATAGTTATATGCATTTGTAACATATCGAAACTGTTCCTGCTACTGTCATCCCATCTGTAACATATATCTGGTTGTTAGGCTATTAGGATATTCTTGCATTAAACTTCTCTGAATGATGTCATTGCAGGCACTGGGGGCTGTACTTATGCTGATCTAATTGTAAGTTTGTATGTCATACCATATTCGTCAGGCTCAGAAACCAAAGATGGAAATGCTATGTTCAAGTTTGTGGCACTTAGGCTGTATTTCTCATTTTTCAGTATGTTGGCATCGAAGTATGTTCTCTTTTTTTTCTGGATTTATTTCTGGTGCTTTGAAGCATCGGCTTGTCTCAATTTGAGAACTTGCAATGCATGTGTGTGAATGTCTATGGATTTTCGGTGACAACTTGGAATGCATGTGATGTTAGTTTGAAACTTTTAGTGCAATGGGCTGAAACTGGAGACATATATATTGCATGTGTATGTTTTGTTTTTCCAGAGACATGGATAGCAAATCCTAGGGGAAATTATTTTTTTTTCTGGATGTAAGCTCACCACTGACGGTTCATATTGCAAAAGCCGTCACAGGTGAACATACCAGTGACGGCTTTGCACATACATGTCGTCACAAGTGACACACCTGTGACGTTTTTTACTCTCTGAGCCGTCACAGGTGAGTCATCTGTGACGGGTTGCAAAATGGCATGGGTTAGTGCAGACACTTACCTCTGACGGGCCATAAAGTTCTAGCCCGTCAGAGGTGACTGTCATCAGTAACGGTCTTCCACCCGTCAAAGGTGACCGAACTCACCAGTGATCACTGATCACTGACCAAGCCTAAAGCCGTCAAAGGTGAGGGTTTGGGCCCGTCACTGGTGACCTTGTCCAGTGTAGTGAACTCAGTATGCCTTAATGGCCAATGATTGAACTATATATAGAGATCACACTTGTAATGGACTTGGTATAATAATGTGGTTTTAAAGATAGCCCATAGACCCGTAAAAGAGGAAATAACATGTGTACAGTGCAATCACACTCTTTAGAGAAGAATAATGTAAATTCTCCTTTAACCAAACCCTATGTGGCCCATGCCTATAAATGGATAATGTAATTAATTAGGCAGTTTATTTGAGACCAGAAAATTGCAACATCGCTAGCTAGTCACTTCACGACTCTTAACTAAAGACGTTAGATTATTAATTTGTGTTTTCAACGAGCTCATTGTCTTTTATTATTGTTCTACCGCTTCACCCGGCAACTATATTACTGCGAATAATAATCATGCTCTGGTTTAATTCAACCAATCATCGAAAGATCGATAGGGACCCACAGGCCATATCATACATGCATGATTTTAATTTTAATTTTTAAATTTTTGGGAGTTGGGGTGGGGGGGGGGGGTGATTTTCAGCGTAAGAAGAATTTTCTCAGAACACATGGGATTAATTCTCTTGGAATTAATTTGGTCGGATAGACTGCAACAGCATAACTCGTTGCGCAGCAGTAAAACAACGTGCACAAAAAAGAAGCCGGCCGTAACGATCAGTGGACGCCACTTTCTTTCGTTGACTATCCATTGAACGCCACGCGAGTGATGAGTACGTACGACATATGCTTCTGGCACTCGTGCCATTCTTCGCTTGCTTTCGTTCATATATATGTACAGCGTGCTCGATAATAACAGCTACATGTTCATGTACCTGCAGGTTCCCTGCATCCGAACAGCTCGACTAATATTCGCAACTTGCAGGGTGCGTGTTGCGGTCAAACTCCGATCGATCGAAAGGTTGCGATCGTTTCGTTTTTCCACCGGATACCAGGAGGTCAATCGATCTGTACCTGCAAGTGACCAGTTCGTACGTACCCCGTCTCATCGATCCCTGCCCCAATAGGCGATTTGGAGCCTCATCACTTTGGACTATAATAAGCCAAATCAAAAGTTAAATATTAAATTTTCGAATTTGATTTTGAAGTTGATTTTAAGGCATTTTTCAACGTAATTTGTTTTAGCGTTGATTTTAAGTCACTACGAACAAATATATCAATTTTACCTATAAACTAATTTTTATTCTCTAATAAGCCAACACTTATTAGAGGAATATGGGTAGCCGAATAGCTGATGAGGCTCTTGGACTACTTAAGCTGGAAATATTAGTGTATACAACGTGTACACCAATTAATAAATTTCACCAAAAAAACAAAAATATCTAGAAAAATCATACAAGTATTAATAGTATTACACTTATGTGTAAAGTCTTGGCCTTAAAATTATTATATTTTAGACCTTAAAAAAATTAAGAAAATCCGACCGTATTGAGAGTATAAATTTGTCAGAATTTTATTTTTTTTACAACATATATATAATGACCTAGCATAATGACTAGCGCAGATTACGCTGCTAGCATCGTTATATTTCTTCTCAAATAGAAGCATGTATATTTTCATATTTTGTTATTGAAACGGCAATATAGTTTTAAACTTTGTTCTAACACGACCAAACTAACCAATGTTTAATATTTATATTGTATTGTACATACATGAAAGTTATTAATTATTTTTTTAATTCTAAAATTTTGTTATTTATAAATTATATTTCTACATGAACTACATACTCTTTCTTTCAATATTCATTATTTTCTAATTCTAAAGTTTCATTATTTATAAATTTTATTCTAATTCCAAAGTTTTATTATTTATAAATTTTATTCTTGTATAGACTCTAAACTCTTCTTTTTATATTTTTGTTATTTCTAAATTCCGAATTTTAGTTATTTAAAATGTATTCCTGTATGGACTCTAGACATTTTTCTTTCAATATTTCTTATTTTTAGTTCCGAATTTATGTTATTTGTCAATTATATTTCAATATAGACTATAGACTCTTTTTTAATATTTCTTGTTTTTCTAATTATGAATTTCAGTTATCTAAGTTGTATTCCTATAGGGAGACTATTCTTTCAATATTTTTTTTAAGTTCCGAATTTCGGTTATTTCGAAATTGTATTCATGTATGGAATTTTTTTTAAAAAATGCATTTTAGTTTTTTCTAAATTGTATTTCTATATGGCTCCAAACTCTAACTTGTATGAACTAGAGTCTACTACTCCGATGTTACATATTTTTTTATTTCGAATTTCAGCTATTTTAAATTATATTTCTATATCAACTCTATTTTTTTCTTCTTATCCGGTTAATATGAGAATTTCAAATGGTGAGAGCGAATGTGGATGTTTTTTTAGTTACTTTAGTAAGTTAATAGATCCGAAGATAAAACTTATATATATATATATATATATATATATATATATATATATATATATATAATTTTTTATAGAATTTTTTATGATATTTTTAGTTAATGTGTATGGTGTATATATTAGAAGACGCGTGATTATATGATATGCTCCCACTTAAGCTTGGTATAATGGCATTTTTTTCAGATCTTGGAATACATATTTCTCATTACAGATTATAGTATAATTGGAATTGTTGCTCATCGGTCGCCCGGGGGGAGGGGAAAAATCGGTCGCTCCCCCCACCCCCAACAACGCGCGCACTTGCCCTGTGGGCCCACCACATGTCCCTGCCCCCACCTGCTACGTGTTCCCACCACATACTCCGTTGCAACACATCACCCACATATTTTGAAAACCCTCTATTAAGAGAATTCGTTTCATTTTTTGTTCCACTAAAATTTTTTCACCTAGTGTATTCATAATATTTCACTATGTATAGATCTAATGTTGCAGTGAACTGAAACATTATTTTGTAACAAATCACCTGCATATTTTGGAAACCCTCTATTAAGGGAATTCGTTTTATTTTTTTTGTTCTATAAAAAATGTTTCACCTAGTGTACTCACAATGTTTCACTATGTATAGATCTAATGTTGCAGTGAATTGAAACATTTTTTCACTATTTGCTAAAACATTGTTTTTATATAAGGTGAAACAACGCCCGATTTAAACGATTGAAACATTTTCGATATACCTAGTGAAATAATTCCGATATACTTAGTGAAACATCGTGCAACATTTAAAAATAATACAATAATAAGCTATTTTTTTCATCGGAATATATATGTGTGTGATCTTGTTTTAAAGATTTAATTGCAATGAATTTAATGATGTAATCGGATCATGATTTAGATAAATAATTTAAGAGAAACAATAGTTTAAAGTGGTTTTGCACGTATGCGTCATGCTGACGTCATCACCCGAATTTTCGCCCTCCCCATCGAGCGCTCGATCCTGAGTTGCCTTCTAGGCCCTTTTTAGTTCCCCAAAAACTTTTCCCAAAAACATCACATAAATCGCGAGACGAATCTTTTGAGCCTAACTAGTCCATGATTAGCCATAAGTGCTACAGTAATCCACATGTGCTAATGGCGGATTAATTAGGCTCAAAAAATTCATCTCGCAGTTTCCAGGCGAGTTATGAAATTAGTTTTTTTATTTGTGCTAATGGCGGATTAATTAGGCTCAAAAAATTCATCTTGCGGTTTCCAGGCGAGTTATGAAATTAGTTTTTTTATTTGTGTCCGAAAACCCAAATGATATCCGGTCAAACATCCGATGTGACACCCAAAAATTTTTATTTCACCGACTAAATAGGCTCCTAGTATAATGCATAGTGCTAATGGCAGATTATACAATCTCTGAAACAGGAGTGTGTGACTTCGTATAGTGTTTAGGTTGACAATTACAGAGAAATTATTACGGTTTGACTGCTTCGCTGCTCGATGGGGCACGAGTTAAGCATGCGCATAAGGCCATCAATCTTCAACGCCCTGGTTGTACGAGCGCTCAGAAAGAATCCGGTTTATTTTTCAACTTGACGCACAGGCTAGTTGCTACTTGGTACTGAGCTACGACATGATGTTGCGATCCTGCGACAGTTTCTAAACACGTCAATTGCCGGCCCGGCGAAAAACACGTGAGAATTAATTGAACAAGCTCTTCGACTTTTCTTCAGGAAATGTGAACTAACTCAATACTACTCCCTTCGTTTCATACTATAAAACGTTTTATTTTTTCCAAATCATTTTTTTCACATTTTATATAAAACTAGAAAAAAATACTCGTACGTTGGAACGGGTGAATGTTATTTTAATATTATTATTGTTATACGGTTTAGCTTGGATAAAATTCACTATGGTAATTCGCTAGAATATTTTTTTAAGAAAATCATCCATTGCAATTAGGAGTCGGACTTTCATCTGAAGTTAGAATGCGAAATTTTTTAAAGAGATTTCTTACGCGACTCTTTTTGTATTTTCAAAAGTAAATGAACTTAATCAAATTCAAACACGAATCTATATTTCCAAAAGCGAACGAACTTAAAAACCGACTCAAATACGGATAACGTACCAAAATACCGGTAAAAACATCTTCATTTTTTATAATATAGTAGAGAAATAGCAACGTATACAATA